CTTCACCGTAAGGCAAGTGGTAATCATGTTAGAAATGATTCACACATGAAAATATCAGAGGTGCGAGACCCGGGATTTGAACCAGCTTCACTCGGTTTTCCAAGCGAGCGCGACTGGGCTGCCACTGCCCAACCACTGCCGGCCATATTATTATTATTTTAAAATACAGACTATCCATATAAATATCCATAGAAATATTCCGGCGACCTTAGTTCTAATTTGTTATTTTGTTTAGATAACTTCTACCAATTACGTTTCTCTTGGGCACGTTAGGATTTTTTCTTTGAACTTTTGATAAGAAACCCGTAAAACAGGACTACAATATAAAGTTCGTTATTTATTGCCGGTATCAACCACTTCTGGAGAAAGAATTTCAACGTTTCTAAAGTAAGAAATATTTTGTTATAGTATATCGAATACTATACGAATAGGTATTATAAGCACTTTTTGGCTAAACTCCAAAACCCGAACTGTAAGTATATTAGCTTTAATATTATTATTAATTTTATAATACTTAGGTATTTTCAACTTTTTCTCTTCAGTTTCTTATAATATGAATGATTAACATAAATTTCTTAAAGATTAGTTACAAATAATATAACGTAAGCATAATTATGATCTCATGCGTAAATTGCCCATTCTTATCAGACTAGTCTCTTTAAAATGATTCTTGGTAGTATAAAGTTTGTTTACGTTTGCGTAGTCATTTTGTGACGCGCTTACTCATATGTTGATAATAACAAAATATATGAGTATAACCCGCTATGTCTAAAATAGAATGTAAATTTAACCGAAGCAACATTTTTTACGTCTTTAAAAAAATGGATATTTATCTCTTCTAGTTTCAGTATTTATAAACTTTAATGTTCAAAATCGTGATTTTGATTTGTATCTGCTATATTTCAATGTTTATTTCGATAGTATTTCGGGCATCGTTATTATTGGCTAATCGTGCGAGCGGGATATAGATTTCAAACGATTAAAGGTACGCAAATATACGGGTCATTGACGCGACAAGAGGCATAGAGGAAGCGAAATACGAGGGTGACAGACGGGCCGTTAACAGGGCCGTTACAGCTTCAAGTGATATATGAGCTGCGAAGTGGCTTGGTGCCTGTCACTCCAGTTCCGCTGCCGCACCGCGCCAGCAAAAAGATAAAAAGGATTCCAAAATACGTTTCACAAGTGGCCTGCCGGAAATGGATAGAAATTTACCCACTACGGCTTTTTTATGTCGGGTAATATATCCACCGTATCGCTATCCAATTTCTGCTCTATGACGTGTAATGTCCCTCGATCGTTTAATTTCTGCTATCCTGGCTCGTATCGGATGAGGTCAGTGAAATAGGAATTGGAAGCGACGATGTTATTCGGAAATTATATTCGGAATGATAAAGCTGTAGGCACGATTATGATCCCTTCTTTACGAAAATCTTTGTTTGGTTCAAGTAAATACTGGCGTTGTCGTTGGTTCTGCCCGCGTAGTTTAATTGCTGCACTACTAAAGGAAAGAGGAGATTTTTTCGAATCGAGCTAGTAGTTCCAGAGATTAGAATTTTCAATTAAATTTTCAAATAAATCTGTAATTAGGAGTATTGCGATACGTGTTTCAACATTCAATATTAAATTATACATTAAACAGCCCCAGTAACTATTGTTAGATTATTGTTTATGGAATTTGAACTTTTGTTGAGTAGAAACATTATGGTATACAGGAAAATAGTTCAATGTTTCATAGAACGTTTACCGTATCTATTTACTTATATATTTTTTTCAATTTAATATATATTATATACCTAAAATAATTGAATTGAACATAGATGCGTTATAATAATCTATTGGTGCTTTTCGGGCGATACATTTTATTTATATACCTCCCCCCCTCCCCCCAAACCCCGCCCCCTCCCCGCCCCTCCCCCTCCCCCCACCCTCTCTCCCCCAACCCCCTCCTCCTTATGTACATAAAATGTGCAAACGCTAAAAAAGTTAAAAGAGAAGGTAATTTAAATTGCTCTTTTAAATAGTAATAGAAAAAACAGATTTTTGTTATTGTTTTCCCCTAATTGTATCTCAATTCATTGCATAAATTTTTGAATATAAAGATAATGGAATGGTAATTATAATGTTTACGACAAATCTGAACGAGGACAAAATACGTACCTAAGTATTTAAAGAAGTATTATACAAATAAAAGTTCTTTGAAATATCTGATAAAAGTTTATTTTTGCTACTTATAAAGTACAAACGATGAAATTTCAATCATAGATAAATAAGTAGCCAGGAACGTTTAAAGCAGGCATAGACATTAGGGATCATTGCTTGACATGAATGTACGACATAGCATAAGAATTCTGTGTATTGCGATTCTAACGTTAGAAATAGAAGCTAAAGAAGTAACTATGATTAAAGCATTTCATCTAAGAAACGTTTTAAGTTAAGAAATAAATATAATTTGTGTTCCAAGCGTCATGTTAAAAATGACACCGAGGCGTGTAGTAGCTTAAGTTGCCAAGATTTCAACGCTTGACAGACATTTAACTTAACAATTTGTGATTTTCAGACGTCTTTTGTATCTTTTTGTCATATTAAATACAAGGCACCTAATATTTAATGTATTCGCTACAAAAAGTTTACACGATTGTCGATTATTTGTTCGTATGCTAATAGTATAGTATGATTAAGGTCGTAAAGTGAAGTTAGATAGAATAAAACATCTATACTAATATTATAAAGAGGTAAAGTTTGTGACGTTGTAGGGAGTAATCTCTGGATCTACTGAACCGATTTAGATGAAATTTGGTAAGAAGATAGTTTGAAACCCTGGGAAGGACATAGGATACTTTTTATCCCGGAAATCATCCCTTAAGGGGGCGAAGATGGGATGAAATTTTGTACGGGGAATCAACCTAGGGACGAACCCGAGCAACGCGAGGGTGAGTCGCTAGTTATTTATAAGTAGATTGTATAGTGAGAATACAAACGCAGAATATCGAAGTGTTCCACTGAAAAGCAAACAAAAATCTCTTCTTGAGTCATACCAATTACTATTTATAATATAGTTATTTACTAGTAGGTGTACAAAATTAGATATCTTCCAGGTACTTTTCTATATCTATGGCAACAGGCGCTAATTTTGTACAAGGATCAAGTTGGTGACAACTTCAAAGTAAAATATTTTCCCAGATGTCTTTGAAATTGTTCTGCTATAATACGAAATTTGCATTTCCAAACCATGGCACGCCTTTCATTGACCTCTGACCTCACTTACCCAACGCCACCCCTATTACTGCGTCAATGATTTTAGTTTTATGTTATCGTAATTTATTTCATTACGCTAGAGTACTCTTATATTGATTTCATTTCACTTATGGTTATTAGAAGTACAAAATCTTATAATATTACATTTAATGTAGAATAGCTCATTAGCTATTCTTGTATACGTATATTCGTGTAACTCGGAAACGACTAAAGATTTAGATCAAATTTTAATATTATAATATATACTTAGTAGTAGTGTAATCAGTAAAAACTGAAAAACTCAATTTTTATATATAATTTCCGGAACACACGACGATTATTACGACATTTTAATCTATAAAATCTGTTAATGTTACTTTGGGTTCTTCCTTTATGAATAAATAATCTAAAAAATTATACCGACAAATACAAAATTATATAATTATAACCCGCACATAGCCATAGGTATGTTATTAAGTACTAAGGTAGACTTTCGCGAAGCTTATACATGGAACTAAACAGATTTAATACACGGAAACTAATTATTCCAATCAAGATTCCGTATTACATAAACAAATGTACATATACCAAGAGATATTACAATTTTATATAGGCATCACAAAAACCATTAATTGTACTATAGATAAAAATCTATTAGTTGTTATATAAAATTGTGTTAAGAAAAGTGTACGAGATTATCTAATTTTTTGCAGTTTTGGTGTAACAATTTTGCAATCGACTATGTTCTTTCTTTCTGACAAAACATATATTTCCATCTCTATAATGGAAAACTTCACACATCGATTTATTTAATGACTCACGTATATAGTTATAGTATTATCTACAAATAGTGCTTCATGTATTACTGATAAGCTCGCGGCTTTTCTCGCGTCTCATAATGGGATAATAAAAAATATCCATTGTCAGTCAATCAAATTCTGTATCCGCTAGGAAAAGTCATGTAGAGATCGATTCAGTCGTCGATACCAAGGATAGTGGAAACAAACATTAAGGTCGATTTAGCTTTCGTACAAATATGTATATATGAGCTACATACGGAGTAGCTGTTTTAAAATCGCAGGCAGATGTTATTATATTTAAATGTGTATGCACACAATAGAAAAATAAATCTTACACTGCCAAAATTCAGCACAGCACACTGATTAGCGAACATAGTGTGTCAGAATTCAATAAAGCCAACTTGTGCCATAATCCGCAAAACGTTTACTGAAGCAGTAGTTGGTAACGAGGTTATATGGAACAGTTTCGGGCGAAATTGCTCAGGGAATGTTGCTAGGTGTCATAAAGTTTCTAGCTGAGATGGACGTGAACTGAGTTGGAATACCTGCATGTGTTGACCGTTTATTCAGTCTTGTATGCTTCGCTCTAACTTTGTCAGGACTCTTAACTATTGTTACAAGTTTCTAACCGTTCTAATAACAATGGAATCATACGACTGGTCCGCGAGCGACAGTTGTTCCAGATTATACTCGCCTCTGTTAGCGGTTGTATGTATCTGCGAATAGAAATAACTATCTGTTCTACTTTTCTAGAAGTTTTCCAGTTGTTTTATACCATAACATATTGCTTTCATTCAAAGAAAATCTTCTCATGTAGTTTGCTAGAAATTATTATATAAAATCTTATTAGCAAAAAATAAGCTTTTGTGCTCAAATTATGTTAGCTTTTTGATGGTATGGAAGATGCCAGTTTAACAACCTTACATGAATACATTATATTTATAAATTTGTTTTATTTTTCAGGTTAAGTATGGACTGGAGGACAGCTTTAGTAGTACTCGCGTTGCTGTTTTACGTCGACGGCTTCTCGAGTGAGTTTATTTTATATTTTGTTTTCCACATAACTGTCAAGTTTTTATGGTAAAGTTGATTAAACTTTTATTAAGTTCTGCAGATGTGCGTTTTATGACAAAATGTCTTGTAAAATGTATCTGTTTTATATAGATTTCTTTCACCATTTTAATAATAAATTTTCTTTATATTTTTTTAAAATTTATGACATCGTAGTCATAATATATTTTTGTATATGATATTTTGTAAATGAAGTTACGAAACGAAAAACTATATCAAAAATTATATTATAAATGTGAAAGCGTGTTTGCTTATTTGTTTGTCCTTCTTTTACATCGAAACAGAGTGACGGATTAGCGTGATTTTTTTGTGTGGTGATAGAGACAGGGTTTGAGGGATGGAGAGTGACATAGGCTACTTTTTACCGCGAGAGATTATCTCATTCCCTCGGGAAAACACGTTATAACACAACCCACATCAACTTATCACACATATAATGTACATATAATGTACATATAATGTACACTGTACAAATATGTATAGTCTATGTATTCCATACTAACCCTTAAAACGTACCCAGCGACGATACCTAAGCGAAGCGAGGAAGAGTAGCTAGTACTGAACTAATTCTTAAATTGCAAAATTACAATACATATTGGCACATAATTAAATAAATCATTACAAGTTCACAGTTACATAAAAATATCGAGTATTATAATTTATAGCTACCTTAGTTTATGTTTGATTGACATTTTTGTGTGCCCACCTAAGACTTATAAGTGCTTAAATATAATACATACTAGCGGCTCACACACAAAAACAAATGTATCCCACGGGAACCGTACATTTTTCCGAGGTAAAAACTAGCCTATTTGTTATTCTGATGTATGAACTATATTATTGTAAAGTTTCATTAAAATCCAATCAGTAGTTTTTGTGTACTATGCTATATAATTAACTATAGTAATTTTCCGAAATGAAAATTATCTAAAATGTTGACCGGAGATATAAGGTACCAAAATGCTAAATTTCATTTAAATCGGTCCAACAGTTTCGGAGATTAGACCGTACAAACAGACAGAGAAACAAAAAAACTGGATTTGTTCTATTCTCTTTTTACATCCCCCTGACTCGGTTTTTAACAAAAAAAATTCTATGTACAGACATTCGACCTCTACAGTTTTATTATATATATATATTTTAGAGTTTATATTATTTAAAGGGATATTTTGCAGTTGTGGCTTGTGATAATGGCAATGTTTAGAGAACTCATAGTAACCACTTTATAAATATATTATTATATATATAATGTAGATCAATACAACAGATTCTCAAACGTTTCAAAAAAGAATTCTCAATAATAAACAATGGTGCATTAATTTTTTTAACAGTGATTATGGCGTATCATAAAATAAAGTAAAAATCTATTAAATATTTCATTTTTCTTTACAAGGTACCAAAAATGGTCAGTGTCCTACGTCCATTAATCGATCAATCTGAAATTCCTTTATGTGGATAGGTGGAGCACTTATTCGCAACGTCAAGACGTGCATTGTGTTCATATACAGACCGACTAATTTATTTCCTGTTATTACCTACCTTATATTGCGGCGTAATTTGCCTCGCTCGTGACCTCTGACACGTCCTTCGAGATTTAAACAGAACACGCCCGCTATCGACCATTTTAATTATTAATATTTATTAAATATCTCAGGGATTTACGTATTATAATTAGTTGAAAGTCGACGTTCACATTATCACTTTTCCATTCTGACATCACCATTCCATTGATAATATTACCTAACTTAGGAAACGAAAATCCAGTTATAAGAAATATCACGTAAACTAACATTTAAGGTGCTAATAAAAAACACTTGTACAATTGTACACCTGTAGAATTTATAAATGACCTCTAAACTGCAATCTTAATTCACTTAAAACTAGCTACATGACCTAGACTTGATCATAATGCTAAAAGTACTTCCATATATTATAACTAGCGACTCACCCACGGTCCACTCGCTTTCGTCCCTAGGAACGTTTTAACCATATATTTTCCCGCAGTAAAAAGTATCCTATATGTTGACCCGGATAACCAATTATCATCATACCAAATTTCATCAAAATCTGTCCAATGGTTTTCTCGTGATGCGCTTCCAGACAAACAAAAATTCTAAATTCGGCCGCTATACCGATAATAATAACTATTTCAATAAGATTTTCAAAAAAAAATGTACAGGATCGACTCAGAACTTTGTTATATTCAGATTTTACCTTTTCTTAAACAAAAAGGTATAATATACTTATAAGCAAAGCTATCAGTAGCTTCAAATGCAATAGGAACTAAGCTCCATATGACACTCAGGCACGTTCACCTAAAGATTCCTATAAGATACGTCGAATCCATTACCGAATGCGCTCATAAACCAACCATTCTGCCCTTCAAGTGTAACAAAACAATGAGTTATGATTCGACCTTACGACGCTTTTATATTCTTTTATTACCTCTAAATTTGCACTTACCGAGTCGCAAATATTTTTCCGTACATTTACTGGCATTTCTTGCATTTACCATCAAAAATATTTTCATGAGGGATGTTCCTTATATTTTATTGATACACATTTTAGTGTCCAATATACCCTACTTGTGCGAGCTTATGTTTTTGTGAAATATAAATTTATATGTAAATTATATTGAGAAATAATAAATTAAGGAAGTTCATGGTTTTAAGCAATATTCGGAATGAATACAATTAATAGATAGAGCCCTACTCTATTGGTCGGAACAATATACTATTATATGAATTAATAGTAATTATTATTTAATAAATAAAATAAAATAATAATTATATATTTATCAATCAATATTAATCCGTAACCGTATTAATATTATATATGTGAAAGTTTGTGAGTATGAATGTTTGTTACTCTATCATGCTAAGAACGGCTCTTACGGATCTGGATGAAATTTAGCACAGAGATATATAATCTGGCATAACACATAGGCTACTTTTTATCCCGGAAAAAAGTACGGTTCCCGTGGGAAAGGTTTGTTTTGGCCTAGAGGCCCAAGCTTTCCTAGAACCCGAGCGAAGCGAGAGTGAGCCGCTAGTTCATTCATAAATTTATTATGATATATTTATGATCATTTTTTCCTATTTTTAAACAAATTGTTTTGTATATAACTTATTTAGCAAAATAGAAACTACCCTACCTGCTATTGTGCAATACTAAATACTATTTCTGATTTGTTGAATGTAGGTAATTCAATACACTGCATTCTAAATCGACATATTTAAGTCTATTCAACTACAATATGCTTAAAATATAGGTAGGTATTGTGTAGGTATTAGCACAAAATCATAATTTTTACCTTTCACCCTGTCGAACTATAATCGTAGTAATAACGTCCCAAACCCCTGTTGAAACTTAATACCCCATAAAGAAACATGATGTGTAATAAATTTATAACTTTGGAACCCGTGTAACAATATCCCACACAAGATAGGTATTGAAAGGGTGAAAAAAACAATTCAGTGGCAAAAACTTATTCGCTTCGGTAGACATTACGTGTGATATTGACTCTCGAGAACGTCGAGAACCCAATCTAAGTATATAATCTTGTATATGCAAATGGCCTTTTTCCTTTTACAGCCAAATTCCTTACCCGGTCACGCCTTGTGGGTTATAAAAAGACGACGCGGAAACAGAGAAATAAAATATATTCATGAAAAATTCCTGCGTGGATTACTTAAATTTCTCTACTTTCCTCGTAATACTTTATAATTTACTCATATTGTGGTTGGTGTATTATTAATGAGAATTAGAACTTCGTCACCTCCTAGTCAGACACGCGTGATAAAGGCGTTCATACATAACAAGGACTTAAAGGAATCTAGTAAACTATGCCTCTTTTAAATGTTAAAAATAAATCTTAATCTTTTTACCCGACTGCGACCAATTCTAAAAGAGGGTTATGTGTTTGACCCGTATGTATGCCCGATCCTATATTCCCTCGTAATTACTAAACAGTCGATTTTAATAATTCATACGTCGCGTCGTTAGATTTTCTTTGATAACGCGACTTATGTTGTGGCTAGTGTTTATGGCTATATACTTAGGTATTATGAAAAATCAAAATGGCGGATTTCAGACGCAAATTTGTGTCTCGAAAAAAAAATTTCTTATTAAAATCAGAAATATACAACATATTTGTATTTAATATTAATATTTTAACGTAACAATTGTTAAATAAAACTCCTTTATACCTAAAGCCAAAACTAAAGTTGTAAATTTAAAAAAAATATTTAAAAATAAAAAACCCGACTGCATAAAAAGCGAACTAAAAGAAGGAAACTAGTTGACGAAGGTAAATAATACAAGGCAGTCGGAGTAGCAAGACTCGCAGCAAGTATAAAACGTGTATGTGTATGTCTATTACATGGACTTGACATTTTTATCAGTCTTCCCCCCAAAAGAAGAGAATTCATTTAAATATACACATTTTTTATTTACTTCATTTAGAGACAATAATTCAATGACAAACTGATAGACAGAAGAGTAGAACCTGTAGGTCTTCCTATACAGAATTGTTAAATAGATTTTTGGCCGAACTGTTCTAAGTTGGCAAATAAAAGATATTAAGAACTGGAACAGTTTTTGATATTATAATTGCGGACTTTAAACCACTTAGATGGTAAACTATTAAGGAATTACTAGGAGAAAGATTTTTATTACTTGTATAAATATCATGCATTTCATACATATTTTTTTTTATTTTTTTACAGAATATGGAAGAACGTGTAGGGACATCGGGTGTCTCAATAGTGAAGTATGTGTCCTAGCAGAGGATCCCTGCTCTTTTGGCCGCACCTCTGACTGCGGAACATATCCTACCTGTAAAAAGAAGTCTCAAGTTGAAGGTAATTTAATTCAGTTAGTATTGTAAATATAGAATATTAATTATATTTTTCTAATGTCTCCTCTATACTATCAAAAAGAGGCATTCTTTAGGAGATTATTTCATTATACGGACTCTTTTGCCAAAATATAAAGTATTCTTAATTATTTATAGACTATCATAATTCATGTCAATAATAATTACAATCGTCCCATTTTCAATCAGTTTTGACACTTCAAATGGCACAACTCATTTAAAAAATAATGAAACAGGAAATAAACTCACAATTGGCGAAGATATCGCATTACAAACATACAAAAAATTATAACAGAATTTTACCCCTTAAAAATGGTCTACAAGAATCTTAAATTTGGCAATCTTAATCAGTAGATAATATTACAAAAATTATTTTCAGGTTCACATTCTGAACCAGCTCCGTCCGTTCCCAAGCCACAAACTCCTACTAGGAATTTCGACTCGGCTCCCAGTTACCCGGCACCTGCACCACCGACTAATACTCATAGCGGCTCGCCTTACAACAATTCTCCTTACGGGGGTTCACCTTATGGTGGTAGCTCGTCAAATGGTGGCTCACCATATGGTGGTAGCTCGTCAAATGGTGGCTCACCTTATGGTGGTGGTTCACCTTATGGTGGCAGCTCATCTAACGGTGGTTCACCTTACGGTGGTAGTTCACCTTATGGTGGTAGCTCTTCCAACGGTGGTTCTCCTTATGGAGGTAGTTCCCCATATGGAGGCAGTTCACCTTATGGTGGTAGCTCTTCCAACGGTGGTTCTCCTTATGGAGGTAGTTCCCCATATGGAGGCAGCTCATCTAATGGTGGCTCCCCCTACGGAGGTGGTTCACCATATGGTGGCAGCAATCCATACAGTGGGCCTTCCCGCGGAGGAGGCAGTTCACCCTATGGTGGTACAAGCTCGAATGGTTTTGGAAACGGAAAAAGCCCCTTGGACAGTATTTTCAATACATTAAGCAATTTTGCCAACGGCCAACCTGGACAAACTGGACAGAGCGGACAAAGTGGAACCAACGGCTTGTCGAATGTATTCGGTAATATCCTGGGAAATCTATCAAAGAATGGCGGTCTAAGTAGCTTTTTAAACACTAGACCTATCATGGAGAACCCTAATTATCCGTCATACAGCGCTAACTCGAAGTCTGATTTGAGTTCATCAAAAGCAAACTCAGCTAAGCCCTATCACAACAGTGCCAATACCAGAAAACCAATGTCATATGGATGGAATATTAGGTAAATAGAACTGTGAAACATTAAAGCAGTCACTGTTATTGCTCGCATGTATTCTTTTTACACTTTTTAGTTCATAAGCAAAACCAATACCATGTTTAACACTACGCAACTTTTTCTTGGTTCAGGTCACTGGCACTAAATTTAGTTCTCTATAATGTGCTATCTTTTATTTGTAAAATTTCTTTCTTTGCCTACTAATATAATACTCATGTAAAATGATCCAAGATGGCGGATGGCACGTCATCTTAAATCTTATTCAATAACCTTTAGCCCATAGATTTACTTCTACAGATAATATAAAATCACCGCCATCTTGGTTCAAATTAATCAAACACTATAGTACTATGAGGCTTATAAACAAAACTTATGCTGCATTGCGCTTAGATGGGACGGTTTTAAAGTAAAATTAACAAAAAAATATTATTTCAAATATCGATCGTTAATTTAACTTTTATTATTTTTACTTACATATATATATATATATATATATATATATATATATATATATATATATATATAATTTTTGGTTTTGGAGTAATATCAATTAACAAATTTGAATTTCGATTTTATTGTACTAATTCTTTTAAACCTCCCTTTAGTTGAAAATTGCAAGCGCAAAAAAGACAATGTATACTCATATTGCATAACATATCTAATGTTCTTTTAACTGAATCTCCCTAAGTTATTAATAGCATGAATGTCGACAAATTGGTAAGAGATTATTGTTTTATTGACTTCCATTAAAAATCTATAATTTTATTAATCTTAGCCTAATGTTACATTTAATAATATATATAAATAGAAAAAATATAACTTCGAAGCCCTCTCATTAGCAGGAAGATGCTTTTTGTCATTAGCAATTTTGTTTTATGTAAATATTATGATTTAGAACGAAGCATATGCTTATTTGCTTTTTTTTTATTAAATTAATTCAATTATGTAGAAAAAATGTTAATACTGCAAATTATACTTATTCGAACCATTCTAAAAATGGCTACACATATTTTTATTATTAATTATAAAGAATATTTGTACTTCAATTTTAATAAATATACAAAGTGCTAAAAAAGTAAAAGTTTAAATATTTATTAATACTCTTTGTTATATAGTTAGCCATTTTGGGATAATTAGATAAGCTAAGCATAGATTTTGTAACTTTGTTATCTATGTATTTCTTATTCCAGCGCGACTGTGGTTTTCACGTACCTGATACATCTATACATCCATGCAGTAATAGGGAAATAATTTTAAGTGTTTTATTTATCACAAGATGCTTTAACAAAAAATTATAATCGTTATAATATATATATATTTATTATCTGAATAAAATACTTTATTTTGAAATTTATCGTTTTATTTTTTTATTTTTTACTTTCTCGTTTGTTCGGGTCAAATATTGCAAGTGAACTTTAAAGCATAATATATCCTCAACCGATTGAGTCGAAATTTTGCATACATGTTTAGACAATGCATAGTTAGATAAGTGACGATAGTCTAAATCCAACATGGCGGACTCCCAACGATGGTGAACTGTTTTTTATGCACCCCCACAATATGGATATCAAATGAAAGGGTATCAGAGAAGAATACGAATATAAAAAACAAAAAAAACTTTAAATCAAACCCATTTATTAATACACAATTTATGGGATATAAAAGCTTGTTTTTAAATTATTATTTTTTAACTTTAATTTATAATCACGTGCTATGGGCATTTATATACTTATTCAAAGTTTAATGGTAAGCTATTTAATTACTTAGGTAAGTAAGCTACGAAAAGAAACGGAAATTTAATAAATGTGCCAAATTATTATACACTTGTAGGGTTAAAAATTAAAATGACTGTTGACATTTGTACTAATAGTAGGAGATCACGATCTATGTGGTGGACCCCTCACTCTTTTTTCAGACGAAATTTTTTTTAAACCATAAATCATTAACAAACATGACCCAGGGAAGTCGTCACCAAAAAATTGCTCGAGGCTATTTTTAATTGTATCAATCGCAAGTAAAAGACTTGTAGAAAATGTAAAAAACACGATTTTACAAAAAAATACTTTCATTAACTATTGCAGAGAATTTATCCATAGTATACTTAGTCCGTGTAACGTTTTGTGGACAATAATGCTCTTGAATGTCATTTCAACAACTAATATGTACCAAATAAAGTAGTTTATTGAATACTGTAAAGTAGAACCTATTATAAAAGCAATAAGAAACACATTTAATTTACTTTTTTATTCAGATCATTATGTTTATAAAAATATAAGTATGTATAAAATATAAGTTCACATATAGTACGGAAATGCAACAACATATTTTTTACGCAATTTAGGATATTTTTAACCGACTTCAAAAAGGAACGATTACGTAATTTGATTGTAGGTATATCTTGATTTTCATAATTCTTATTTAAGAAAATGAGACCCCGAAGAGTGTGTAACATTTATTAAGTTATTTTTCAGTCGGTGCATTTCAATCATCATTTGAATTGATACTAAAATAAATATTAACAAATGTCACTCTCCAGTCCACTAAAACAAAAGATACGAATCTATTACTGAATACAAGACTAATATTTACAATTTTAGCAGATATATAGGTATATCGCAACAGTTTTCTTTTGTAATACTAAACTTCTGATCATTGAGACTTGCGTTTTAAAAATTGACGATTAAAATCTATATCTAAAACTAGGACATAGCAGAAAATGTACTAAGATTAAGCCACTATTATTTTGAAATCCATATAACTAACAGATACTATACATAATATAAATTAAATAATTAACTTTTATGGTACGACATAAGAAATGTCTAACAACAAGAAATAATGTGACACCATCGATCAAAAAAGTACTAGATACACAATCAGTGACAAAAAATGTCCTCACCTAATAAGCGCTGATTTGAACATTTGAGCGCACTTTTAATTGTTTTTTTTTTGTGAAAACAACTTTAAGCATCGCATTTAAGGTTCAATTTACATTGTTGTATATTTATTTCAACTAGAATAATTACGTAAACACAATGGGTGACATTTTTAAGAGATTTTTTGCATGAGATTGTGTATTTACTACTTTTTTGATCAATGTGTAATACCAACTTTTCCCTCCCTCTACTTCTGAAATTCGCAAAAATTTATACATATAATGAAACTGTAATAGTAGGGGAGCCCAAGAGGGGATTTTCTGTAGTTACTCGAGCGCGGCAGATTAACATAAAAGAGGTTACCTTGCACTCTATTGAGTACTTTCACCATAATATAAGTCTTCTATATAAAGGGGCGCGTCTAGGGAAGCCGATTAAAATATTTTAATCGGCTCTCGGCCCTCTTGGGCTCCCCTACTATAATGGATCGCTGTCTGCACATGGAAGATATTTGAGAGAAACTGTTATTGGAGGTTTTTATTAACGCAATAGAACCCAAAACAACTATTTTTAGATTTTTTGTCTGTCTGTCTGTTTGTTAGTTTGTATATGCGTTTGTGCACGCTGATCTCAGAAACGGCTTTACCGATTTAGATGCGTACTTATGTATTGTGGTAAGCTTCACTTAACATTTAGTGTTTATTTTCTTTCAATCGGTTCATATGTCAATTTAATGAATCACCGAGGGAGGAACCCAAGCGAAGCGAGTGTGAGTCGCTAGGCTAAAATAAATAATTCATGCAGATTTACGTAAATATAACAAAAAAAAATCATACAATGATCTCGATTTAAAGTATGTTAATTATATTTATTTTAGCCCTTAAATATTAAGTATTCATTCATTCTATACTTAACAGTATGTATTCAAATTATAACCACAGAATATTATTTTCTTTTCTGTTTCAAATAATTGTTAAGAGACTCGTACTAAACGCCCGTAAAATGATTATATGAGAACTGCAATTAGAACGACTTGTAAATTAATTGGAATCAAATCTTGTACAAAAAATTCCACTCATTTTACATACACAAACAAACAAACATACTAAAAAAACTGATGTTTTCACATCTTCATCCTATAACATTAAAAAATAATATAAAAAACAATATATTCGTATATTCAATGCACAAATTCTGATCACTTACTATATTATTCATTATTAATGGACTATTTTTCAATTCAAGCCATACCCAAGATATTGAAAATATTATTATATATTTAATATTAGCCTATTGCACCTCCCCCCACTTCATTTTAACTACATAAATCTCGATAGATTTAAACTTTAACTAACTTAAACTTTATAGAATCAGTCCTATTCCCCTTAAATGACTAAGCATGACTCTTAACTAAGCAGATAACAACTAGATTTCATCACTTAAATTCTTCTTTCTTCTCTTCTTCTTTCTTCTCTTCTTCTTTCTTCTCTTCTTTTATCTTCTTAGGTCTCGTTGTTCTGTGTACTTGGTTCAATACCATACCTAATATCAAGAAAGTGAACCATACTCCATACCAATAGTGGTATACAGATGAGTAATAGATCCAAATTCTATCAAAAGAAAGTAGAAGGAAAGCAGCCGCTTGATATGATTCGGAGTGAGATCTCAGGAACCACATTATGAAACCAATAATTTTCTTTTTCTGAAATAGCAAATAGGAAAGAGATGAATAACGAGAGAATGGGCTTATATGTTGAAACTATCTACAATATATCCTATAGAAGTGTGAGCGAGACAAACTAATGACAATGGTCAGAAGTTGTCTCTTTCTAAATTTAAAAAAAAAAGGTAATACATACTTCTTTAAATGGTTACATACATATTATATGTAATATCCTTTTAAAGAGTATATGATTTTTATCACCTTATTAACATTGTATATTAAAACAGCCATGAATTGTAGTTCTTGGATTCTTAATTAATCATATCAGGATGTAATAACAAATTATTAAATGATTTTACTACCATTCCTGTAGCATCTTTGTAGTACAACTTGTAGTAGATGTCCTCAGCCATTAAATAGAAGGGACAGAAATATATACAGAAAAAGTATCCAGCGTGGAATCCGTGCCATATCACTGATACGAATAGCGCTGCATGAATTCTGAAACCAAATTTTATTTAAAGCATAAATAATTAATATATTCAAATAATTTATTGCGGTTTTATTGCATAACACCATCCAAATGTTGCCATCCAATATCCATTGTGCAGTTAAGAGGAACTAAACGCACTAACAGACATGCAGATAGCAACATCGACCAAAAAAGTACTAGATACACAATTAGCGACAAAAAATTTCCTCACCGAATGAGCGCTCATTTGAACATTTGAGCATGCTTTTAAAATTTTTTATGTGAAAACAACTTTAAGCATTGCATTTAAGATTCAATTTAAACCGTTGTATATTTATTTCAACTAGAATAATTTACCTAAACAGAATTAGTGACAGTTTTAAGAGAACTTTTGTATTGGATTGTGTGTCTAGTACATTTTTAATTAATAGACAGAAATTTTGTTTTACATGATTTATATAGATTTTTTATCTTTAACTAAACTCTAGTAATATATCTATATGGACATAATATAATAATAGTACTTAATATTTAAAGATCTTCCCCCTTTCCATAGAAAACTTTACCAAAATAAAAAGAAAATATTTGTCATAGAAATGAAAGATGGTATATGAATAAACCCTATTAAAACAATAAATAAGAATTGTCAACAAAACTCACTTTAAAATTTTCACAGGGAACCTTTTATAAACAACCATTGCAACCCAGTACTGCACTGCTTTATTCCATACTTTCATGGAATCTCGTAAAGTGACCACAGTTTCACAACCCCATACATCCATAGATTCAACTGTATTAAAGTCATATTCAGCCGACTTTGCTTCTTCTTCAGACCTGAATTTAAGGAAAAGCAATCAATAAGTATTTTATTTACATTTCTTTATATTTTTTAAATGAATGCCCTAAATTATATATATTAATTCAAAAGCAAAGTAAAAGAAAGTTTACAATTAGGTCCAAAAGAGCGTCCATTCTTTACGCATACTTGCAAAACATTGTTCTTTAAAATATAATTTTAATTGACCTTACGTTTTCGAAAATATACTCACATTTGTTTTAATTTTAAGTATCCAACAGTGGGACCATGACCAGTACGATTTCTTCCCTGCACAGGATATGCTCCAAGGCCAGCTGAAGTACACACACTTTCGGCGAGTGTCATTCCAGAGTATATACGTTGTCGGAATGCGGCAAAAAGCACCCACGGGTAGAGCATTCGATACAAAAAGTTTCTATTGTTGTGCTCCTCTGTCAGAATATACTGTAACCAATTATATTGATAAAGTGAGAACAGAAATATAATAGCCGATTAGATTTGTGTTATAGTGATGTATGTGTTTGTAATTTAGCCCTTTTTAATATCCTTCTGCTAGTCATAGGCCTCCCTTAAGTATGAAGGATCAGGCCAAAGTCCACCACGCTAACCAAGTACAGGTTGGCGAACTTCACATGTCTTTCGTAAACTTGGTAGATTCTCTCAGAGGTGCAGGTTTTCTCAAGATTCCTTCACCGTATGGTAAGTAGTAATCATATAGAAAATTATTTGTACATAAAATATCAGATGGGTGCAAGACCCAGGATTTGAACACTTCTCTTGGTTTCCCTAGCGAACCTGACACTACTGGGTTTCACGTTTTTTTTTTTAAATGTGTCAATATATTCTTATATTAAGTCTACAAGTACTGTCCAATATTTTTTTTGGTCAAATAAAGTGGTTAATGTTAAATAACTTTAGGGCCATTCATAAAATACTTAAGTAAATATCCTTCTCTTTAATCACACTTTTGGTTTTCCAAATATGTATTAGCAAAATATAACAAAAGCTAGCTTATTTACTCAAAGTGAATGAATCTCCCATGAAAGAGGATGCTACTACTATATGCAAAATGATGATGATGATACTCTGTTGTTTTTAAAATAATATATTACATAGTACAATCATTTCCACAATTTATATTATTTTAATATTATACTGTATATGAAATTGACATCAATTGTCCACTTAAATACGCCATGATATGGATTTATTAATAAAAATTGTAGTTTGAATTTTTCTCACATCTAAAGGCCATAAGTTGGAGAAAGCCAAATACAAGGATATATACAAAGGGACTGTTTTCAAAGTATTGATGGTAAAGCCAAAACAGTCCACATATTTACTATAGGGCAGGTGAAAGTAGTCATCAAATGTTCTGTATCTGTAATATGGACCTGAAAATAGATTTTTTATAAATTACCAATATATTATATAATTTATGGCAACATCAATGGAGTTTTTTCGGGATGAAATAAATAATAGTTTTATGATTTTTTCTATAAATATTAATTGTAAAAGAACATAATAATGTGACTTCGCAAACCAAGCTGTGGTTTCATTTTCTATAGAGGGCTAAAGGTAAAGTAGAAAGAATACAAGTATTTTGTACTATAAGTAATATTATAGCAAAATATTATTGGTACAACACACACCCTTTTTTTAATTTATATACTTTTACCTGTCAATAATCCAATGTAATTAAAAGAGTAATGAAAGAGATCCACAATGTTTGGATTAATTAATTCCAAAAAATCATCATCTCTATCTTTTACAGATTTTTCTTTTTGATCCTCTTTTTCATCTTTATTCTTTGTCTTAGCAAGAGCTAACCATGAACCATTCATTTCAAATGCTACTCCCACCACTCTTAAAACTATTATCATTTCTATGAGATTGGTTTGACCAGAAGAAAGTGAAAAACCAAACTTATCAGCAAGACGGAAGAAGAATAAATATCCAAACATTAAAAAAAATGTGACAACATGGCAGTATCTGTAAAATTTAAAAATTTTAAGACTTATATATTGTATAATATGAAATAAATTCAAAAATATTACTTTATTAAATGTTAATACATTAGTAAGAAAAATTAACAGTAGCAGAAACAAGACACTATATGCATTTAGCAAAAAAGCTAATTAATATAAAACGATTACTTCAAAATGAATATATATGTAAAACAGCTCAGATCTTGAATTAATTAAACGTTTGATATTTTATTTCGTAGCTAAAAAAATATTTTTACTTACTTAATTGTAGCTGCTTTAATAGCAAGAATCCCAAGTAACCCTGATAAAATTGGATGAACTGAACTATATCCTGAGACAGTTACGATCAATGACAAACCTAAAATTGTACCAGCCCATTTTTTTGCCTCAATCGTTTTTAATTTTCTATAGTAAGGGCCGATAAAAACACTAAATAGCAGCAATGATAAGTATACTATATCATTTAAGTTTTTTGCTATAAATGCTAACATTTTGCTTATATAAGGAAGTGCGTAAACGAAAATATGAATTAATCCAATATTAAACAAAATACAATTTATTATTTAATGTACTTTAATTAATCGTAAACCATCGTCCATCACAAAAGTCAAAACACAAAACCATGGATGACAAATGACAATTGACAAATCACAAAACCACTGTGACACAGTTCACAGACGAAAAAGACTAACGAGTGACGAAGCGCGGTCCTATGAAATATGAATGATTCCAGTCGAATTGTTCGATTATATAAATCATTCGACTCATTCGAATGAATTACGAAGTTTAGTAACTAACTTGATACCTGCTAGTTGCTAGACTAAACACTTGGTCGCTAACTATTAGTTGTAGTAGTGCGACTGACATTATTATGCGCTAAGAGAGTAAGTAATATTGAAGGATCTGTGAAATATGAATTACTTGACAAACTCTGATATATATGCAGTTTGACTGAGGCGCTGACAGAACGGCGACGCACTGCACAATTTCTCATTTTAATTAAATTTTAAGTTAAATTAAAAAAACCATCCACGCTCTATAGCTTCACAATATATTGAGGGCCATAGTGATCGCGATATCTGGCGGGAGAAAAAGGCAAAATTCTTCGCCATTATTTTTGCCACGTTACATTAACTTTTTATTCCACCAAAAGTAGTATGTACTACCTGGCAGCATTTGTTTTGACAATTGACAGTTTTCAATTTTGCTGTTGATGATGGATGAAAACGTCAGTAATGTAATTGTGTTTTTATTTATTGTATTGATTTGATAAATGAAATGAAAATGAATATATAATGATAACTGATAACTATTAAATCTTAAACACAATATGTAAACAATATTGAAATATTTTTCTTACAGCAAGATTCCCAACATTTTGTTAAAATGAAGTCCAATTTAAAAGACGAAGTTAAAAAAGAAATATTAAATAATCTTAATATAAGAATAGGTAGTGACATAAATAATTTAGTTAACGCATATGAAATTGAAAATGAGCTGCTGGTGAAAAGAACGCACCTAGAAAGCTGTGTAAGTGAAATTTTATTAAAAATATTTATATATATTTATTTCCTATAATCTTAATTTCTGAATATAAAATTGCAGTTGCATGCTGCAAGTGATGAAGTACCAACAAAATTATCATCAGCTATTAAGAAAGCCGAACGAAATTCTAAACAAATAGATGCAATCAGAGAGAAAATGGATGTGCTTGTTAAAAAAGTAGACAAATTCTTTATAAAGACTCAGCCATTAATTACAGAACTTGATAAAAGATTTTCAGCTATACATAAGCTTGAAGAAGTACTAGCTTATTTTCAGTCATATGCTAGAATAGAAGAACTCAGGTTTGTTTCAAAGTTTGAATAGTTTATGGAAGATTAGTTTAATTATTATTTCATTTAAAATCATGTGGTTTTAAGAATGAGCATTTGAGAATGATGATTTTTAAAATGTTAATAACTAATATTTATTTACAGCAACCAAATGAAACAATGTAAAGATGATGAACAACTTGTAGCTTTGTATTCAGAAATGAAAGACATGTGTAATAGCAATCAAAAAGCTCATAGAGATGCATACATCAAAGAGTACACTCATTATTGGCATAATGTTCTAAAGGACAATCTTACAAGGTCTGAATAGTATAAAATGTGCACATTTTTTTTTTAAAATTGAGAAAATAAGACAACTTTATACTTAATATTTTGTAAAATATAAAAGTAGTGTTAGATTTCTAATTCAAAGTAAAATACTATTTGTTTGTAAATATAATCTAAAATCCTACCATTTCTTGTTTTAGACATTATGAAGAAGTTCTAAAGTTACTTAAATGGCCTTTTGTCTCAGCGGCTGAAAATTCACCACCACCAAAAGAAGTGATGAATAAATTCAGTAATCTTACAAGATATCTATTTCTTATACAAGAGCCTAAGGATGCCATGGTTGAATCTGTTTCATGCGATTTAACTCAAGGTATTCTATGACTAAATTTATTACTCGTCATTTGGGATCTATATTGAATTTTTCTAAGTATTTTATTATTTAATGAGTTTTAACTTAGCCCTCTTTTTGATATTAAATGATTGTAATTGTAATAATTTATATATGGTTTTTAGAGCAACATCCATGTCTGCCAGTCAAAGTGCTATTAAAGCCATTAAAAAAAAGATTCACATTCCATTTCACTGGGTCTCGGCAAACTGCCCGTATTGATAGACCTGAATGGTTCTTGACTCAAACTTTAACATGGATTAAAGATCATCAAAACTTTGTCAAGAACAATGTACAGCCAATAGCAGAAAAGCTTGATATGAATCATACAAATACTGTGGTATGTATTAGGTATTAGTAAAATTTGTGTATAGGTACATATAATAATCCATACTAATGTAAATGTGAAAGCTTGTGATGCATGGATGGATATTTGTTACCATTTCATGCCAGAACAGCTGAATGGATCTGGATGAAATTTGGCAGAGATAGATTGTAGTCTAGAAAAATGTATGTTTCCCATTTGATAGATTCGTTTTTACTGATGAACTGGGACGAACCTGAAGCGAAGCGAGGCTGAGTGGCTGGTGTAAAATAACTTAAAATATTCTCCACTTTTAAGATGACATTAATTTATTCTTTTGTCTTTGTAATGGTGAATGTAGAACTGAAAGAAATCTAATTGAGAGATTATCGTTTTCAGAAGATATAGTATTAATTTTCTAAATTTATATTTTTAGGAGGAGTTCAATATGGGCTTAATAGCACTAGCTGCAGAGAGACTACACACGGTATTAGCAATCTATCACACCCAGGGGTCTAAAGGGGAAATAATCGACGTGGACGCGGCATTTGCACACGCAGTAGACGAAACCTTGGGATTTCAAAAGGAATTGACTACAATAACTGATACTGAAGTTAACAGTGTTCTTACAGTTCTCACTAAAGCTGAGACTTTTGTGCGGTGGTTAGCTGTGGAGAAAAAATGTAAGTTTCTAAAGTTGTGTATTTATTGAAGAAAAATACTAGTTAGTATGACCTTCCTAGTAACAAATCTTAGGTGCTTAAAAGTAGGTATTCATATGATCTATGTAGCCCATGTGCTACTATAGATATGAATCTATGTATCTCTTAAGTCTCAATGAGATTAAAATGATTATTTTTAAAAAGAATTAAATAGTAGATTGCTGTTTTTATTGTTATCTGATGAATTTTGTAAACTACAATTTCAAATGTAATAAATATTTCCTTGTACATTTGCAGCTTGTTAATATGTATGTAAAAAAGAATAAATTCATTTTTTATATGACTATAGGATAAAATGATGCACCACATATTATATCGTTCAAACCTGAATTCCATTGTATTTGGCCCATTTTAACGTCCTAGTGTTGGGCACGGGCCTCCCTTCAAGGCGAGGGGGATCAGGCTATAGGCCACCACGCTGGCCAAGTGCGGGTTGGTGGACTTCATTAGTCTTTCGAAAACTTGCTAGGTTCTCTCAGAAAAATAGGTTCCCTCACGATATTTCCCTTTACCACAAGGCAAGTGGTAATACATAAGAATATCAGACATATATATACATAGGCATAAGAATATCAGAGGTCCGAGACTCGATATTTAAACCCGCTTGACTCGGTTTCCTAAGTGAACACGTTACTACTGAGCTACTGCCTGTGAATTTACTTATTAACTGTGACAGTATCATTTATTATTAAAATATATTCCAGATGCCTTAGCCAAAATGGATGAAACTCTAGACAACGAGCAGTGGATAGAAGCGGTGGCAGCAGGCGTGGGGTCGGCGGTGGGCGCGGTGGTGTGGGTCCCGCGCGGCGCGGACTGGTTCATAGCGCTGTTGAAGACCATCGAAGATAGATACGCTATGTTGCCTCAACCTGGACATAGGTTAGTGGATATAAGTATATTTTAGCATATTTTCCTTTGCATTTCTTTTCCTTTAAATGTACTGAATGGTATAAGTTTAGATTTATTTATTTGGTAATCTTACAGCATTATAAAGATAATGGAATTGCAGTTTGAGGACAAAGTTAGTGAGGCCAATATTTGGTAAATTTGGTACCTACGTATTGTATTTGGTATGGAGTTAATCGATAGAGTGAAGTTATCTTATATATAATAATATTAATAAACTAGTAATTCTAAGAGTTGCTGAATACAATACAAGTCTGTAATCATCCCCCAGGCTACAGTTTCTAGAGCTCCAATTGGAGCTGATCGAGGAATGGCGTATACGTCTAACGCAGTTGCTGAACGCGGCGGCGGCCACGCTCAAGCCGGAGAGCTTCCTCGTGGCGGGCCCGCACCCGCTCATTGCCGTCATCAACGCGGCCCATCACACTATGACGGTCTTGTTGCAGTGGGCACACTCTTTGGTAAGGATTATTTATTTCTATTTGACCGACTTTGGATAAGACAGGTACTTAGTTTAGGTGTATGTCTATTTTTGTATGCGATATGTTAAGGAAAAACTCTATAACTAAGGGTGGAATAATTATATTTGGTTCATTAAATCACTATTATAAATGTGAAAGTTTGTATTTGGGTGTGTGTATGTTTGTATGTTTGTTACTCCTTCACGTTGTAATGGCTAAATGGATTTTAATGAAGTTTAGATTACAGATAGGCGATTACGTGGATTATAACACATAGGCTACTGATAGTAACGAAACGAACGAAATCTAGTAAGTTTTCGAAAGACATGTAAAGGTGAAGTCCGCCAACCCGCACTTGTCCATAGTGATGGACTATGGCCTGATGCCCTTCGTATTGAAGGGAGGTCTGTGCCCAGCTGTGGGACGTTAAAAATGGCTGAATACAAACACAAAAGACACCTATCGACGACCCAAGGGTAGAGAGGGCAAGCACAGTACTTAAACTTAAATAAACTATAAATAAAATAAACTATGCGAGCAGAGCCCGATGTAAAAGCTAGTAAAACTTAAAATATTGAAATATAAATATTATTGTTTATAGCCTTTGTTTAAGTGATTTTCTTTCGTTTTTTTAGCATTACCTCCAGTTGCATTACTACCGGCGACAGTTCCAACACTTCACTCAGCAACAGCACAGGGACGAGGAGAGTGACTCGTCCACCAGCTCTGAAGATGATGAGGACACTGAGGATGACACCACTAAACAAACGTACAAAGATGGTAGATATATTATATTACCTTTATTATTATCGATTTAAAAAAAAAAATGCTATTTCAATTTAAAGAATCACGTAGTAACGATCCCGAGCAAAGTGAGGGTGAGTCGCTAGTATTAAATAAACTTTTATTGCTTATTTATTTTTACACTAAAATACTGCTTATTTATTCATTCTCTCATTTCTATAATAGGAGAGGAAGTGGAAGAATGTATATCTTTAAATGAGGTTGAAGTCAGCGCAAAAAAAATGGCCTTAAATGAAATGACGAGAAGAACCTCGATAATTGAATCGAGTCAATACGATATTGTAAGTATGTTTGTCATAAATATGTACTTATATAACAAACTAACTATCATTTGCCAATTTTGTTAATATGACATTAAAGAAAATTTAAGTTTATTTTAAATATAAATCAAATTCTAAATTACGCGATCCTTTAATTTTGAGTTTGCTAACAAATATAAATGTCAGCGGGAAATCTGATAATAATCTATTTTTTTGTCATCGTATTATAAATTCAAATGACGTTTAGAGCCCAATAGTTACAGTAGATACAGAGTACAGATGCATATCCAGAGGTCCTAGATTCGAGTTCCAGGTCAGGATAATTATAGTTAATGTGCTTTTTCCTGATTTCTCACCACATATAAAATTATCTTCCCATCGAAATATAAGAGTGACAGAAATAGAGAGTGCATTAATGTTTAATAAAGAATATGATAATTAATAATGTTGTTTCAGACATCCCCAATAGCGAATTTAGCGGTTGCAGAGCCTCTAACAGACGAGCTGCCGGAAGACGGCGGAGTGTTCGCGGACGCGCCCGCGCTGTTGGGCCATTTGCGGGACGAGGGCATCGCCGCGCTGTCAGTACATATCATGTTGGAGTTTAAAGCCACCATACGTGATTATAAGAAACAGAAGTAAGGTTTTTTTTTATTATTTATTTGGATAAGCACACTTCAACATACATACACAGCATTTGTATATTAATTAACAACAATAATAATGTAACTTATATGTATGTCAATTACTAGTGTACATAGCATTTCCACATTCAATGATTAAAAGTACAAAAAATCATAACTGTAATATTAAAAACAGAGCCAAAAAATAAATAAATCTAAATAATATCATTTTACAAAGGAAATAGATAATAATAAAAGAAATTGAAATAATAATCATTTACAAAAAAAATTAAGATTAATAATGATCATGCATATTATAATAATTTAGTATCTTATTTCTAAAAATTGGATGAGAGTCATAAAAAATGTCAATGCCAGGTATTGATCTGAGTATATCATTATATTTATTACACAACCGCACCAAGGGGGCTTGCTTGCCAATATTAGTCCTAACGCAAGGAGTATAAAATATATTGTGGATATGAGCACTTCTGTGTGTTCTAGAAGGTACTGATATTAGTATTCTCTTGGTTATTTCAGAATTAGTTACATTGTTATTGATAATTTTAAGTAGGAAACTTAATTCTAAAATTTCGCGCCTACACCGAAGAGAAATCATTTTAAATTTTGTCAAACGTTCTTTGTAAAGTTGTTTATGTGAAAAATCTTTTTCATAAAACGCAAGATGTTTCGTAAAATTACGCTGAATACTTTCAATACGCTGGGAGTGTACGCTATACAGTGGATTCCAGATGACACTGGCATACTCGAGACAGCTACGCACTAATGAATTGTACAAAATTAATTTGGTTTTACGTGAAAATCCTTGTGTATTTCGCTTGATAAAACCAAGGTTTTGCGCAGCTTTAATAACTATATTGTCAATATGTATTGAAAACGTTAAGCGCCCGTCAATAGTGACTCCTAAGTCTTTAATTTGCGATACTTCTTGCAACAAGACATTTCCAATTGAGTAACTGGAGACAAGTGGTTTTTTTCCGTGTAAATTTTATATGAAAACATTTGACCACGTTAAGAGTCATTTCATTGAGACGACACCATTCAACAATAGCGTTGAGGTCGTATTGTATTAAATCTACATCTGAATTCGATTTAACTGTCTTGTATAATTTGAGGTCGTCTGCGAATAATGAACACTTACAATGCTTGATGTTGCCAGTGATATCGTTGACAAAAACCAGAAACAGTAGAGGGCCTAAATGAGAGCCCTGTGGAACCCCACTCTTAGCAAAATACAACTCCGATTCAAAACCAGTCACGGCTACTGTAAGTGGTCTTTGTGTTAAATATGACTGAAACCATCTTATTTGAGTAGTTCCAAGTCCATACTGATGTAATTTTTCTAGAAGTATTTGATGATTTACTTTGTCGAACGCGCTGCTGAAATCAGTATATATAGCATCGATTTGGTCTCCCCTGTCCATCGCTAATGCCAAGTCTGATGTAAACACAGTTAAATTAGTTTGAACTGATAATCCGTGTCTGAAACCATGTTGAGAATGTGTGATGATGTTTTTAAAATGATTGCTAAGTAGGGGATACACAAGACTCTCAAACAGTTTAGAAAAACACGAAAGAATTGAGATTGGACGGTAGTTCTTAATGTCCGCTCGATCATCTTTCTTGTATACAGGTACTATTCGTGCTTTTTTCCACTCCTGGGGGAAAATTCCACTTTCCATAGAACTATTAAAAATTACTGTCAATGGAAACGCCAAAACAGAGCCGCATCTTTTTATGAAAATAGGAGGAATTCCGTCTGGACCTGCACTTTTTTGGGGGTCTAAAGATTTAATCTTTTTTAAAACTTCTGCTTCAAAAAATGTTATTTTATTAATACTTGGAATATTGTGCGAGTTAATTGTGTATGTACTGTCGTGTAAATTATTTGGGGTTATTGTGTGTGTTTGTGCAGTTTCCGTACGATTTTCCGACAGAAGAAAAGTGAGTAGCAAAGAGATTGCATATTTCTTTTTCTGAATTAGTGCTATAGCTGTCCAATGACATAGATATAGGCAAAAAGTTCATGTTACGTTTGCTTTTATAGTGTTTCCAAAACAACATCGGGTTCTTGGAGATATTATATTCGACGTTTATGGGTTTTATAACAACTATCAAATAAATTATGGCAGCGACTACGCAATATTTGAAACTCTAATTTATCCCTAGGATTACCATATTTTCGATATTTGATACGGAGTTTCTCCTTCTCCTTAAGTAATTTGGTAAGGTTGTGGTTGTTAAGTAACCGAGCGCGTTATGATAATTTGATGGAATCATATACGAACAATTATCACCTACATTCCATTCAATAAAACCCATATTTAAATCACCTATTACTATCACGTCATCAATTTGATTAGTAACAAGATCTATATTCTCAAAAAAATTACGAGCATTTTCAACTTTAACTGGAGGTGGCAGATAGACAACACAAAGAGCAATTTTTTTAACTAACTGATCACTATTTATGTGCAATATAACCCACATATTTTCATCGTCAGTGTCCCAGTGAGATACTCGACAAGACGAAATATCTTTAGATACAGCTATTAATATACCTCCTCCGCTTTTTTTTTTGTATTTTTGGAACAAATACGATCCTTCTTATAAACTATGTAACGCGATTCATTGTTAGAGATAGAGGAGTTCAGCCAAGTTTCAGAGAACGCTACAACTTTATAATCAGAATTTAGGACATTTTTCAAGATATCGTTCGTTTTAGTTCTTAATCCTCTTACGTTTTGATAATAGATTTCTAACATTGTTTTAATTAACACCCATAACATTTGTATGAATAATGATGTTAGTTGATAAGCCTAAGACACTCTTCATTTTTGATTAGTTTAGCTTGACTAAATTCATCCTTCCTTACGAAATTTTTTCCATTTCTAACCCAAGTGAAGCGGTACTTCATTTCTTTCGCTTTTATACGTGGCCGCGTGAAGTGCTTTGTTCGTCGGTGATAAATGTTCCGAAATATATATAGGCTTACTAGTCCCTCCAATATCTTTTTCTTTTCTTTTTTTTTTCTTTTTTTTTTAACTTTGGGAAATGCATTTACGCACGACGTGTGGGACTCACTGGCGTAATACAGCCAGTACTACCCACTAAAACCCAACAAAACCTTCCCCCGTCTTAATGGGGCGTCGCAGGATCGCTTACGCATTCAACTCGCCCCGACGGCAGGTCTGCCAAAGCAGACCACCACAACCATGGGGTTGCTCCAAGGTCCACTCTGCTATCAGAGAAGTACCAGGAGCAACCCGCAAGGTACACCGCCCCCGAAGAGGGCCACCTCCCTCCGCCCACCGAAGTGGGCAACCTCCCTGTGCGTTTCTTAGCTTCGCGCCCGGTTGGATTGCCGGGCACTACTGAGCCCCCCCACCACGACAAGGTGAACGCACGTTGGGGGGGAGTCCCTCCAATTCCTAGGTGATGTGAATTTAGTTTATCTTTAGGATTTTTTTTGATAATTGGGCAACAGCCGCAAGAATAGCATCACGATAACTTGCACTTCGCAGTTTGACGATGACGGATCGTGGTTTCTCGGTATTCCTGTTTAATTGCGCAACTCTATTATTCTACTACAACTTTTTATATTGTATTCAGCCTTTTTCATTCAGCCGAAAGAAAACCGCATGATAACTCGAAAACACGCGTTTTCCCAGACATAAGACTAATCTAGATCGATGGTTCGCCCGGAAAAACCACCACACACCAAATTTCAGCGAAATCATTAGAGCCGTTTCCGAGATTGCCGCTATAAATATATAAATCTATACAAATACTAGCATGTATACAACTTCCCTATTTGAATCGGATATTATTAAATTTTTCATTGGTTTTATTTTTTTTTCGTGGAGCCCTATTTTTTTTCTAAAATAAAATTAGCCTAAGTTACTCCTTATTACATCAGCTATCTGCCAGTGAAATTTCCGTCAAAATCGGTTTAGCCATTTCAGAGATTAGCTGGAACAAACAGACAGACAGACAGACAGACAGAAATTGTAAAAATGTTGTTTTGGGATATGTATCGTGTACACATCCATATGCATTTAGTAAAAAGCTGTTATTTTGAAATTTCAAACAGACACCTCAATTTAATTTATCTGTATAGGTTTGTTTTTGAGTAATGTTACCATTGTATAAATATTGACAAATATTGACATTAATATTTATACGATACTAACGTTCCTCAATTGTTTTGCTTTCCCAGAACTTTTCCACTAACACTTAAACTTTATAGTATGGTATTAAAGTTCAAATTGACTTTTAAGTATTATTACGAATCTTTTGTATGGGAGTATAGAAAAGTGTTGTTTTTAGGTTTTTTTAGACAATTTTTTAAATTTTTCTCTCCGTAAGAGTCATCCTGATACTTCAAGGAATATTCTAAAAAAAGAAATGAGTGAAATCGGTTCAGTTGCTCTCGAGATTTGCGCTTACCAACACATTCAGCGATTTATTAAGCTATTGCATAGCTTCTATCGCGGGCCTTGAGCGTGGGGACCGAATCCAGAAATTCCGTAACGAAAAAATCTGACACCCCCCACTCTAATTTACAACAGACATATGTATTTTAAAGAAAACATTTTGTTAGCGTGATTCAGAAATGAGGCAACCTACTAGTAGCGCCATCTCTTGGCAGGAATCGGAACTAAACCCGACAATAGGTGTATAGGTATTTATCATCTATGTACAACAGTGAATATCTGTACTCGTATAATTTGTGTAAAAAGTGTTTTAAATATGAATAAACAAAGTGCATTTATTAATGAAGAAAGTCAAGGAAAAAAATACTGCATTAATAAAATAAATAAATAATTATAATTGCATAAGTTGATAAAAAATGCTATGCAATAGCTTTACCGCGGCAGTCTCCGAGTGCCACATTTAATTTTTTTTTATATTATAGATTATAAACAGGTAAAGTTTGCGAGTTTGTGACTTTGTAGGGGGTAATCCCTGCATCTACTGAACCGATTTAGATGAAATTTGCTAAAAAGATAGTTTGAGACCCTGGGAAAGACATAGGATACTTTTTGTTCCGGAAATCATCCCTCGAGGCCGTGAAAATGGGGATGAAAGTCTGTACGGGGAATCAACATAGGGACGAATCCGAGCGAAGCGAGGATGAGACGCTAGTATATAAATATATAACGATTGCTCATCGAAACATATCAGATGAAATGATAATTATCAACGGACCCCGTCGCCTAACCACGAACAATCTCGCAGATGGCACGCGATGCTGACGCTGGAGGAGCTGGCGCTGTCGGTGTCGGGCGCGCTGTGCCGGCCGCTGGCGGCGCTGGGCGCGCGCGCCGCCGCCGCCGCCGCCGGCCTGGCGCCGCGCCTCGCCGCGCCGCTGCGCGCCAACCTCGCCGCCAGCGTCGACGACTACCTGTTCGAGGTCTGTGCACTACACACTTATATTACTCGTATCTATGTTTGTATGTATTCGGCCCTTTTTAACGTCCTACCGCTAGGCACTTTTACTGCGGGAAAATATCTCATCTCTGAGAAATCTATACTTTACATTAAACTAGAGACGAACCCGAGCGGAATCAGGGTGAATCGCTAGTTCCATTAATGATTATTAATTAATTATATATTAACTGTAAATAGGAGGTGGTACTAGAGAGCTGGTTCAACACGGGCGGCACGATACAGCTCACTCACGACGTGAAGAGAAACCTCGTGCCGGCGTTCGCGCCGCCTAACAAAGTCGCGTCACAACTGAACCAATTGCCTAAGTGAGTGATTATATATTATAACATATATATATTATGTAATAGCCTTTAGCTTTTATACTCGTGACGTCCGTACTTTTTAACGCCCCACTGGACATGGGCCTCCCAATACGAGGGGGCCATGGCCCAAGGCCACCACGCTGGCCAAGTGCGGGTTGGCCGACTTCACATGTCTTTCGAAAGGGTTCTCTTAGACATGCAGGTTTCCTCACGATGTTTCCTTCAACATAAGACAAGCAGTAATCATATTGAAATAATTTTCGTGCTTTCACTGCCTTTTATTATATATCTAAAAATATTTAAGACCATCACTCGAAGGTATAGAAATTGTTGCGATATGGTGGCGAGTTATAGCATTACCTTTTGTATGTTAAAACACATCTCAAAACGATCGGTGCAAATATTTTCAAGTTTTGCGATTTAGCACCAAAGAATATTCATATTGTTTAGTGAAAAACTTTTTACTTAATTCACATGCTCGTATTAATCGTCGTCTTAGTACTTATTTGTCCAAACGACTAATTTATCGAACGAGTTTTCTTGTACAAAAGTATTGACATTCAAATATCAATTTTATTGGTATAAAATATACATATTACTTTAAAAAAATCGAAAAGATATATTTTATCTATATATGTATATAAATGTTACAAATAAAGCTTTGTTTTTAAAATAGAGGAAAAAATCTCTCTACTTTAAAGTACAACAAGTATTTATAGTTTGAAACAAATAAGCACTAAAATGACGTAATTTTTGACTGGCAAGTAAAGATTTTATATACTATTATGGCCGATTTCACCAACGTCACCTAAGTTTGAGGGATCCCCTAAGCATGGTTAGGGGGCTGTTAGGGGACAGATTCTGTTTCACTGACAGTTAGGGGTCACCTAAATGTTAAAATATGCACCTAAATATAGGTATTATAAATACGGGCCCTGACGATGGTAATACGAAATTTAATTTTGGGGCTAGTTTAGGGGAACTTTTAAGGTAGGGATCCCATACGTAGGTGGTAGCTAATGGGATGTTGGTGAAATCGGGCATTAATCCGCCTATTAAAATTAAAATACACGAGTCCACGACATACCGTCTTATTAGAATATTTATTTTTATATTATTTTAAATCTTTCCTCCCCAGACTTCTCGAGGCATGTAAACTCTTAAACATGGATTACGACGACGCTCGACGTTTACGTTCGCAACTATCGAAGGAAACGAACGAGGGTATCGAGTCGTTGAACAATCTTCAAATAGAGCACATACTGCCGTATCAGGCGTTACGTATTCTGAACCAGAGGACTGATCTGCGTGAGGCATCCTCACCGTCTTCGGTGATGGAATTATTTTGAAGTTTCGAAGGGGGCGGCGTTTAAATGTTTCTATGTACCAGCGCGCTTGAGCTATGGAGTGGCTAGGGATATATAACTGTTAGGAGATTGTACGGGATTTGTTGACATTTAAGTTAAAATGATTATAAAGAACGAACTCGAAGCTTTATTTATTATTATTTTTTTTTATAACACACAAGAATAATACATAAAATGAAAATAAAAGGCATACAGGTTTTATTGCTATGAGAAATCTCGTACAGACAACCTCTGGTGAAAGGATTAATGAAACCGTAAAAAGGACGGTACAATTGATATTACGTAAATACATGCTCAAATATATACATACATAAATATATATTTATGTATGTATATATGTGAGCTTTATTTAGGTCACGTGACCTATTCATTCGTGATATAATAAAATCTATATATAATCAGGCCTCATGCATGGAATTTGTGTAACAATTTGATAAAAGTGCTTTAATTTTTGATTTAAATTAACAATCTATAATTGATAACTTTCTTTTTTCATATATTACCATATATTTATTTTTACGTATATTCAAAATCCGTACTATCTCTTAATAGGGTAAAATTTGATTGAAATAAAGCTTCTCCTTTCCAATGTATTCAAGAAGTGCCTTTTTGGCCTTCGGAACTTTAATATTTTAACATTCAAAGTATATGCCTAGTTATCTAATATAGTGTTTTATTTTTATAAAAAATATTCTCTACAATATTCATTTAAGTCAGTCGCAATACTATTTATTTATATTTAAACCTATCTCTTTCTCTCTTTTAGCATTTCATATATAGCTATCGCCCTCATACAATGCAAAGAACATTCGAGAATGAGTAGTGCTCGCGTGCAAGGCATTTGAAATGTACGCCTCCTCCTTAATATTACAAATATGAATAGTAAAATAACATATTTATTGGATTCAATAAAAACGTAGTATATATTATTCAATGTACTATGTGTGTAACATTATACTATATAATATATTACGATATTCTTCTATCTGGCAATCTTGTTGTTGTCGTATTTATGTATAATTGTATGCCAATGTGTTGCCTGTGTAAAATATTAATTTATTGTTTTTTTTTTTAATTTTTAAATGTAATATTACGTATTTATTTCATTGCAAAGCAATGTTTCAAGAAAAATATTTTTTCTAATATTGAGTGGTGTAATATTATTGTTTACTAAATAAATTATTTTATTTACAGGGTTTTTTTTATATATATATATATTATATGTTTGTATAAAAAAAGACCAGATATTATTTGAGTTTTTTATTTAACAAGTAATACAATTAATAATGTTATTGTAATAAGTAACCTAATATCTCAGATATGATACTCATAAATAGCTCACATGTCAAATTCACAACAATAGTTAATTTTAATATAACCACACCACATACAGATCTATCTAATGGCACAAATGAACATCGTCAAACGATTTACGTCAATCGATCCTTCTAGGACAAAGTTGGTTGCTGAATTGAATTCTTAAATAAAATCGATATTTGGACTTAATAAAAAAATCTGAAATCGATATCTAAATTTGTCGTTTAGTAAGCGAATGCTATAATTAAATTGATTTATCAAGGTAAAATTGATATATTAATTTTTAATTTTCTATAACGATTTAGTAGTAATAATTTTTTTAAACATATTAGATCATTTTTTTAAGCAAATTATTGAACATGGCTGAGCTTTGTTCTTAGAAGGATACGACTGAGTTTTAACTAGTTCACAGCATTTATGAAATTTCAACAATAAAATTCTTAGTCAACGAAATGTTGTTTCAATGAAATGCTTCAAAACATATAAATACAATTATTTACTTTACTAATTTGTACAAACTTAATACTTGTTTGCATAAAAAAAATTTAATTTTGATTAACCTTTACTTACATCTTCCACACTAACATCTGAGATCATATAATAATCTATACATATAGTAAAATTATGAGTCGTATATATACATTAAATATTTTTTGGAAAATCTTATTGAAACAGTCATTCATTAATATCGATACAGAGGCCGAATCTATAGTTTTTAGAATTTTTGCCTGTCTGTCTGTCTGCAGTCAGCATTACGAAAAAATCACTGGATAGATTTTGATGAAATTTGGTATGACGATAACTCTAGATCCGGGTCAACATATAGGATACTTTTTATTGCGGGAAAATATCTCTGAAAAATTTATACTACATCATAACATTAAATCGATTACAAGCTTTATCGATTTTTCATCTTAAAAAAAGAAATAAATTTAATACAGATTTTAAAGTGGTAAAAATATTTATAGACGTCCGTGTGGTCGATAAAGGTTAACTTAACATGTATATGTTTTTAAATATCAATGTATAGCTATAGTATAAATAGCTATAGTAAACTAAGTATTATGACCTACTTGTTTTTTAACGAGCGTTATTTCAGTTTTTTTTTTAATTAATTGCAGTGGCCTAGTAATCTAGTATTACATAAAATCCAATCGATTATATATTTCAAAACAAATTCATATCGGACTATTTTTTTCTTTTTTTGATAACTATTCATAAGAAAATTCTCGCAAGATTTAATTCAACTTGATTATATAAATAAATTATCTTTGCAATTTTTTTATTGCAGTAATAATGACTCGCTTAATATTTAGTTAGGGTTTATAATAAAACCTGTTTTTATGTTACAAAATAGTATCTCGCTCATTTCATATATCTCTTAACTTAAATACATTTGATATGTAAGTTTTAACTAAAAAATATTTAACTATACATTACAATACGTCCAATAAAGTTGTCTACATACATATTATTATTTATTATTATTATCACATTTTATTGTGGATGTAGATTCACTGAATCGCCAATACTCCAAGATTTCTTTTTTATTTTCACGTTAACTTGTTTACATAGAAAATGTCAATTTTCTATCGGATTCTATCTAGATCTAGATGTTTCTCTGTTAATTTACACAAACAAATTGTCGACTTTAAGCCGAACGCTTTTTTACCGTTCTATAATATTGAGCTTAAAATAATCTATTTCTTTTACAATATAAAAAAAAAATCTCCATATTATAAATGGATAATACGACTGTTTTCTTAATAATTACTTCAGATTTTAATTAGTAACTTTGAATCAAAGTGATTCTACCATATTCTAGTGACGTTTAAAATCGATTTTAAATCGAATAGACGAAATCAATAGGCTTCGCTATTGACCATTCATATTCCATTCCGCATCAACCCTGTTAACCCAAAATTTATTTCGGATCGACCTCAAACCTTAATTTGGTTACAATTTGGCTTCGGTATTTACTGACTCGTTTGCCGTAGCCTCAACTTCCTGTTGCTTTGGGTCTGTGGATATAGAATTCCACCATTGCTCATCACCTGAAGCCCACGCTACGAATACTAAATTTGTTACTATAAAAACTGCTAATGTAATCCAAAATACTAATCGCCATTGTGTTAACGTACTCTGAAAAAAAAATTACCTTAGTTTAATGAATTATTTATTCTTATTTTATACTCCCTAGTAACCGAGACAAGTCAACTTTAAATTTAACACCTTTAAATTTAAAAAAATATGTAATACTCAGGAATGTGTGATTTCTCGCAGTATATTTATAACAATAATTATTTATTTTAAAAGTCTACTTACGTCAGGTGTTAACAGTCCCACTAAAAACGGTGCAATTATGCCTGTAATCGCTCCTATTCCATTCACAATCGCCATAATCGTGCCAGCAAAGTTGCTACTTAAATCCAAAGCGTTCACCTTCATCCCAGGGTAGAATGCTCCCATCAATCCCATAGACGCAGTAAACAAGATAACAACAGTATCTGTGTTGCATCCCGAGTATGAAGCCAATATCATGCAAATTCCAGGACCAACGGATGCTAAAAATCAAATGAAATATGGTTATAATAACTTAATAACTGATTTTCAATAATCTGTTCAGTGAAACGTCCTCTCAGTGCTTATTTGTCCAAACGACCAATTTATCGAAAGAATTTTTCATTGCAGTGTTACTTAAATATCAATTCTATTGATATTAAATCTATAAAAAAATATTTTATCCATATATAATGTACTTATATGAATCTTAGAAATATAGTTTTGTTTTTAAAATAAAAGAAAAAACTCTCTAATGTAAAGTACAACAAGTATTGGTCGTTTGAACAAATAAGCACTAACACGAAGATTAGGTAATATAATTATTAAAATAGATACCTATGGTGATAAAACACCATAGGTGTTTTTATAAACAATTAAATTAATATAAAGTCTTTACTATTAATAATTGTTTATACATAGCTTAATGTCTATACATTAAGTTTAATATTACGGCAAACATATAACCATTCGTATAGCTTTTGCAGAAGTCACTTGCTAACTATTACGTCGACAGATCTACAAAGTAAAATCATAATATGCAAATCATATTTTAAAATTATTTAAAAAAACTATCATTATCGGTAAATATGTTAACTACGCTAGTAACAAAATAGCTGTTGTGTTATTTTGTGTTACTCAACATGCGCTTGTTTCTATCTTATTAGGTATATCTTAAATCCGGTCTACGATCGTTCAAAGTCCGGTGCAATTACAAGACCTAACATTTCACTTTTGCAAGCAATGAACATGCATTCTAATTATCGACCTTGTAGTGTCAATTAGCTCAATCTGCCGGAACACATCACAATACGCCAGCTAAACCATTATGACACGCTTTCTCAACCTAATGATTAGTATTCTTTGTGTCCTCACGGATCTTGTTTATGTACTACAGCTGATTGTCATCCGTGGGCTTAGTGTTACCTAATCGTATAAGCTGTACAAGTATAAACTTAAACAGCATATCCGTTTTAACATATGCCATAGCTTTGCCCATGTTCATAATTCTATATAGATACTCTACATAGGTACATTCAACAAACATGACCCCTGCTTTTTATGAAAGGCCGTATAAAGCGGGGATTAAATTTAACTGATTAATGTAAAACAATTTTTCATTCTTAATATTGATTGATGGTCTATAGATAATATTTGTGCGAATTATTTGTCAAACCAGTTTTCAGATTTAAAGTATTTATATAGAATAGATCAAATTAATCAAAATAAAGGTTCCTATTTAATCATATTAAAAAATTGAGTCAGTAAAAATTAGTATTGTAAGTCCGCGCCGTAAGGAAGCTATACAGACGAGCCTTTGAAAAATTTAGTAGTATTTGAAAAAATACAATATGTATGATATTTTTAATGCATATTTCATATTTAAAACCCGGTTATTAGGTAAGTTTATATTTTATATATTTTTATTTTACTATTCATTTCAATGTTTAAACTTCTGAGTGCACCCCTTCCCGATTTATATTCTTTCTCTTTGCTCAAAGATTGCCTGGAAGAGATAGCTCACTTTACAATCACGCCGTTTGATGTGCTATTTCTTCTGTAATATGTATATACACACTTTTGTAACTATCAAGTTATTATCTTTGTACCTAATTATCGCATAACGCAGGTGCAATATTTATTCAAATGTTCTGTTATCGAATGTTGCAAAATGCAAATATACCTTTGAACATTTTGCGGCCAACAATAAATATTACCTATATATGAACATATACCTAATTGTAATTTATTCCACCATATTAACAAATAAAACGACATGACCTCAACATTGACTCACTGTAGTTTCATTGAACTTGACAGTAAAACATGCAATAAACTGTCGAAAGTCACTCGAAACACGATGTCTTAAACATATCAATCTACCTTTTTAACCGACTTGAAAATAAGATGTTATTAAATTCAGATAAAGGTGTTTACCTATATGTTTATGTTACCCTTTCATAATAAAGTATTATTAATATTTAAAACAGAGGTATTCATATAAAACATTTACATAAAGATACGAAAAACTTGTATTTACGTAGATATAAATAAATTTTAACCACCGTTTCTTCGTATAAAATGAAAAAAAAGGATAGAACAAACATTAATTTTAAATGTTATAGCCAGTTAAACATTCCCTACTGGTATATCGCAGAACTAACTTTACTTAAATTATTCTTATGAAAGTATAGATAAAAGATCCACAGACGATAAAGAAATTAGAACTGTCTCTCATTTTCCTATATGTACTATTAAATGAACAATATTTTGTATATGTATCGAAAATAGCTGTAACGATTTTGATAAAATTTGTAACCTTTAGGTGGTTTAGGGAGGCGAATAATCGATCTAGCTAGGTCTCATATCTGAGAAAATTGGTTTTCTCCGTATTCGATATGTCTGCGCAATATAGCCTAATGGTTGAAGCGTTGGCCTACTATGCCCAAGGTCAGAAGTTTCTGGTTTTATTCTTATAATATTAAAAATGAGCAATTCTTGTATATTTATATATTATAAATTTATTTACTGTATCTAGGAAACAGTTGTAATGATTTCGATCAAATTTTGTATTCGTATAAGGTTTTTATTTTTAAGTTTATCAAGGAATATTTTCTAAAAAAAAAAAATTATATTTTTTCTAAAAAAGAAAAAAAACGCTGAACGAAGAACGGTCGCCCAGGTACTTACTATTTAGTAGGAACTAAAAAAATGTAAATCTAATCCAATAACTAAAACAAAACAAGAGAATATTTTTACCCATAGTTGTAAAAGTCTTTCTAGCGTTCGTGACCGTCATCCATTTCCTCTTAACAATTTTGTCGCACATCCAACCAAATAGAATGGAGCTGATCCACATAACAGCATAAGGTAAAGCAGCGAGCGTCCCAGTACGGTGAATGTCGAATTTGAGTACTCCAGTCATGTATTTAGGAAGATCTGTCACCATTGTGAAGTATCCGTAGTCATGGCCAATCTTAAATTTAAAATTAAAAAAAAACATTTTTTTTTTAATTATGCACCCATTCATTTTATATGTAACATAAGATATGCACTGAATATTTTTTTATACTTTTCTAATAATAGATCTCTAATATTAACTATATTGAACTTAATTAGGATTTATTTATATATACCTATATACAGCCGTCATTTGGTTACGCAGTTTTTAATATATATCTATTTATTCTAACTTCCGTCCAGTAGATAAAGAAAATAGGCTGACAGACAAACACACGAGTGATCCTGTTAGGGTTTCAACTTTAAAACACTCAACTCTGATTTCTAAGCAAATATCAGATTATAATTTTATGTTTTATAGACATCATTACATCGTTCGAAATACATTTATCAAAGCGAGTCTATTTACTTTGTCGAAATGCTCACGGATGCTATTATGCTTAGTAAATAATAGTATTCAAGGAATTGTGACTATAAATAGATATAACATTGATTTGTGCGAGGTCCGCAATTCAAGAGGCGTAATTTATTTACAGTGTTCACGGTTCAGTTCGTAAATAAACTAAAAACCGAATTTCAATTTCCTTATCTTTTAGCATCGATATTATACTGTTAGTGTAAAATTATATTTTTTCAAGGACGCGGTCCTTGAGATAAAGTTGGCACCATTTACTTACAACATAAGCTTCGGTATATGAGTCAACATATATATGTAAATACTTAGAGGGTTTAGCTAATTGATCAGGTAACAAAAGATTAAATTTCAATAGGCAAATTATTGCCATACGATGAAATTATAGGCCATATATTTTTTATTAATTTGGATTGTAGGAATAAATCTCTTTACCTGTGCGCAAACTAAAGCCCAAAGGGGAACGGACATAACAATAGCTTTCCACGGAATGGCTGACGGCTGAGTGTTTTGATGCCTGCCCAAAGCTTCTTCGAGGTATTTCTTTTCTTTATCAGAAATGTAAGGATGAGATTCAGGATCGTTATAACATAAAAGTGCCTGTAATAATACATAAAAATATAGTGCAAATTGTCGCATTCATTTTAAGTATACTTTTTAATGATATTTTATAAATATTACGCAACATAAAAATTAATACTATTTCAATACATATATAGTAATTATATAATGAATAAATTTCTCCAACACTTTGTTCTTATTATGCATTATTAATATTTAATCTATATTTTAAAGTCCCTTACCCATAAGATGAACCACAGTATACCGATGCTGCCAAACAGATAGAAAACTGACTGCCACTCTCCTGTCTCTTTAATTACCAATCCTGAGAAATATGTTCCTGCAATATTGCCGATTTGTGCTCCTCCAAACACTAATGAACCCATTCGTCCTCTCTCGGACACAGGCGCCCATCGAGCCAACATCGCGTTTAAAGCTGGGAATGTTGTACCCTACAATAAAGAAATTTTTAAAATACATATGTATGCTTGTTTTATATATAATAAATTAAAGAGTAAAGTAAAAGTCAATTAAGATATAAGTACCGAATTTGATGTGTAGTTTAAACTTTGTATATTAATTGTATTTCAAATATGTATATATTAAAAATAATAAGTATTAATTATTATAATGAAATAATTACTTCTCCAAGTCCTTCGAGTACTCGCAAAATAATAAGTCCAGTAGCCCCACCCACGCTCACGGCCCATGGCGTAAAAAGCGTAAAAACAGCGGTACTCAACACTCCAAAACCGAGTGAATATTTTCCACCAAAACGTTCTGCCAGCATGCCGCCGGGCAAGTGCGTGACAATGTACCCGTAGTAGAAGGCACTGAGGATAATGCCTTGCGTCTCCTCATCCCAGTCGTATCCGTTTATTTCCTGTAGTAAAAACACATGTTTAATATAATTAATATAAGAGTTTCCGCACACTTTAGAATTTATATTACTCGACGATTTAGTCGGCTTTTAATCAGTATGAAATATGTAGTATTCATGTTGGCATATTGTAATGATTTGGTATCAGTAATAAAGTTTTTGTGGTTACATATCCATATTGAATATGAACCCGCACTTACCGGCCGATAGAAAATCTGTAGTCTTCGAGGGCACAATTATTTTATAAAGTCATTAATAGAAAATTACTGTATATTTTTTCTCTATGTAGAGTCAAATCGCTAACGCAAAAAATATAACTAGAATATTCATTATCATTACCTGTTTTAATTTACGTTACCCTCAATAACCTATGTACGATATAAAGTTTCACAATAGCCATTAATGGGATATATAAAAAAAAAACAGATTCTTTTTCAACTAATTTTCATCTATATCTACTTATTAATAACATTAAAGTGTTTCTCTGTAATTTTAAAATTGTTACTCCATAATATTAAGCATATTTTATCGAATTTGCACTGCGAAATCCCAAAAAAACGATTATACAAATTGTTAATTTGTCTGTTTGTATCCGTTTTTCTCAGCAACATTAGTAAGGTACCGATTTTAACCTAACCAGTACTTTTAATGGTAGATAGAGATTTGCGAATACAGCGACTCAGACGTGGGCTAAATCCTACTAATATTCTATTAATATTATAAATGCAAAAGTTTCTGAGGATGTATGGATGTATAGATGTATGGATGTTTGTTACTCTTTCACGCAAAAACTACTGAATGGATTTTAATGGAACTTTACAATAAAAATAATATTATATCTCAGCTTATACATTAGAATAAAACATAGGCTACTTATTATCCCGGAAAAATGTACGGTTCCCGTGAGATAGATTTGTTTCTGTTTTAGTTAAAAATAAATAGTTTAAGCGCTAAGTGACAGTGAGTATATACAGGGTCATTTTTAATTTACTGAAAAGCTTTTGGGAATATACCTACAATTTACATCATAACAACATCTGTAAGAAAAAAAATATTTTTTATATTTTACAAAAATATAAATTTAAACTGACCCTGTATATAAAGAGACTAATGGCCGATTTCACCAACGATACCTAAGTTTAAGGGATCCCCTAAGCATGGTTAGGGGGCTGTTAGGGGACAGTTTCTGTTTCACCGACAGTTAGAGGTCACCTAAATGTTAAATTGCCACCTAAATATAGGTACTAGAAATACGGGCGCTGACGATGGTAAAACGAAATTTAATTTAGGGGCTAGTTTAGGGGAACTTTTAAGCTAGGGATCCCATACGTAGGTGGTAGCTTATGGGATGTTGGTGAAATCGGGCATAAGATGCTCATTTTAATGTTAAGTGTGCTAAATACAGTATAAGTTTTTTTTTTTAACGTTGGGAAATGCATTTACGCACGAAGTGTGGGACTCACCGGCGAAGCCAGTACTACCCACTAAAACCCAACAAAACCTTCCCCCGTCTTAATGGGGCGTCGCAGGATCGCTTACGCATTCAACTACGACGCCCCGACGGCAGGTCTGCCGAAGCAGACCACAACAACCATGGGGTTGCTCCACGGTCCACTCTGCTATCAGAGAAGTACCAGGAGCAACCCGCATGGTACACCACCCTCCGAAGAAGGCCGCCTCCCACCGCCCACCGAAGCGGGCCACCTCCCTGTGCGTTACTTGGCTTCGCGAGTACACTACTGAGCCCCCCCACCACGACAAGGTGAACGCACGTTGGGGGGGGAAATACAGTATAAGTTGTTCTGGCAAGTGGCAACTAGCAAAGTTCTTATAATTAAGGTCCCATTTAACTAAACAAACGCATCAACCCAATGTGCATCAAAGGCATTTGCATCATCAAATTAAACTTAATTAAAGATTTACATTTTAGATTTCTTGCGAAATGGCAAGGTTGTAAGATTTACGATAAATTAGGAACATCTTTCTTAACAGGCTTTCAAGTACAAAGAATATTTTTTTTAATATTTCTAACTAGCACTGCCCGCGGCTACGCCCGCGTTCAGATGACCAAAAACCAAATTCTTGGGTTTTACATATTAGTATACTCTTACATTGCAGTTTTTTTGTTTTTTTGTTCAAAAATGAGATATTTTCCCGCAGTAAAAAGGATCCTATATGTTGACCCGGATTACCAGCTATCACCGAACCAAATTTCATCAAAATCCCTCCAGTGGTTTCTCTGTGATGCGGTAACAAACAGACAGACAGACAAAAATTCTAAAAACTATAGATTCGGCCTCTGTTTATATAATAATGTTTATTTCAATAAGATTTTCCAAAAAATATCTAATGTACAGATTCGGCTTAGTTACAATTTTTTTATATTATAGATAAATTTAAAATAATTCCACGGTAAGGATCAGTAAATCTACGAGGAATCGATTTATTTAAAATAAGATTGTAATTAAATACTACTAGGTATCTAGTACATTTTTAATTTAAAATCTAATTAGAACCGTGAGTGACTTATTTTAATTACGCGCATGATGTTCTATGAGTTTGTTCTATAAATGAATCGGTTATAGAAGATCGAATTCGCAATACCTATTTCAGTTTTCCACGGTAAGGATTAATCATGCCTCTGTTGGTCAAGGTCCACTCGTGGTTAAAACTTTCGAAACGTATTAGGTTATATCTAATAAATAATTAAGTAATATAGGATATTTTAAGAGTTTAATATTTAAATAAATCACAGATTTATTTTAATATTTTATATTTTTTTATAGACTAGCGACTACATTTTGACGGTTAGTATGGATAGTATTTACATAATACTTTCTTAGACTTACGCGAATATTTGACATCTATACATATAATAAAATTCTGAGTCAAATGTGTACATTAAATATTTTTTGGAAAATCTTATTGAAATAAACATTATTATCGATACAGAGGCCTAATCTATAGTTTTTAGAATTTTTGTCTGTCTGTCTGTTACCGCATCACAGAAAAACCACTGGAGGGATTTTGATGAAATTTTGGTATGTTGCTAGCTGGTTATCCGGGTCGACATATAGGATACTTTTTACCGCGAGAAAATGTCTCATTTCTAAGAAAAAATACGAAAACTGCAATGTAAGAGTATACTAATATGTAAAACCTAAGAATTTGGTTTTTGGTCATCTGAACTCGGGCGGAGCCGCGGGCAATGCTAGTTTAAAAAAAAATAAAACTATCTTTTCGGATTTTTCGCGAATTTATTTTTAATTTTATTTCCCGACGTTTCGAATGCTTTACAGCAATCATGGTCACGGGAGAGACTAAGGTGTTAGATGTCTCTAAGGTATTATATAGTTGTTACAGACAGCCTACCCAAAAATAACAAAATGAATTCAAAAAACTGAAAAATGGCACCAAAGTACCTTGCAATATTTTTTAATTTGAATACCTTTGAGACACTATCACATCTATCTATACACATAAATAAAATTGAAGTGTCTGTTTGTAATTACAAAATAACAGCTTTTTTCTAAATGCATATAAAATTATATACGGTACTTATAAAAAAACACAATTTTTAAAATTTTTGTCTGTCTATCTGTCTGTCTGTTTGTTCTGGCTAATCTCCGAAACGGCTGGAATGATTTTGACGAGACTTTCACTGGCAGATAGCTAATGTTATAAGGAGTAACTTAGGCTACTTTAATTTAGAATACGAATTAGGGTCCCATTCAAAAAAATGAAAACGTAAACGTAAGTCGCTAGCTAAATATATTTTTATAAGTATTATACTAATGACTTCCGTTCGTTCGGGTCCACCAGCTGGTCGAATTGATTAAATTTGTCCAGCCATTATATCGTGAAAGAGTACCTAAAACACACACACACAAACATACACACATTCGCATTTATAGTAGGTTATATGCCGATTTTATTTATTATTATTTATTATATTATTTTTATTTATTATTATTCAAAAGTTACTTTTTCTACGATTGTTTTCCTTTTGTCCAAAAGTAAATCTGTTTTTTTAAACTCATAAATCATTTTATAATATGTCATATAGGGTTATCTATAATACATTTTCATTACAGACGAGTATAAAAATCTTATTGACTGATCTTTCGGTAGTCATAAAACAATAATTGCATAAAACATAAATAACATTAAATGAGTTTCCGAGATTAAGGTTTTGAAACATACAGACTCTCAAAGCTTACAATACTAGTTTATATATGAGATAAATTATAAATACCTCCAAGCTAATGACCATAACGTACATTATGTATACTATGTTAATTGTTATTATCAAATTAACACACGATTGCACAGTTTGTTTCATATTAATGTTACTTTTTGTTATATTATTCAATGTTTGTAATTACACATTTTGATTTTATATGATAACTAGCAGAACCCGCAGCTTCGCTCGCGCTAAAACTATAAAAAAACTCTAAAAAGGTAGGCTTCATACAAACTTTCATACCCTATTTTACCACTTTATGAGATGAATTTCGAAAATACGCGTATTTATTTAATTGTATTGAAGAGCATTAATACCAAGTTTCAAGTAATTCTGATCATAAAAATTTTTTTGCTCGTATTATAACATTATTTCCCGTGGGATATACATGATGTCTCGCGGTAAAAATTAGCCTATGTCACTCTCCAGCCCTCCAACTATCTTCACGCAAAAAATAACGCTAATATGTTAATCCGTTGCGACGTGAAAGAAGGACAAACAAAAAACTAACAAACAAACACACTTTCACATTTATAATATGAGTATGGATATGGATATTATATATTACTTTAATATATTTATACTTTATAATATTTTTTTGATTCGAAAATTAATTAGATATTTAAACGAAAATATTTCCGGATTTTTACACGTTATTATTTTACTTTTTGTTTCCCGCAGTTTCTAATGCCTTGAAGACATGGTCACGGATCTAAATCAGACATAGTTCAGTGAAAAATATTTCTATCAAAAATATTTATAGTTTTAGTTCAATCAAAAAATCTTCTTTTACTACACTGTAGCCTTAGTTAAATTCTGATGATTTATTAATATGTATACATATTTTAAACGATAAGTACTGCATTTAATATGTACCTAGTAATGTAACCTTTTCGATAAATAAATAAACAATTTACTAAAGTAAGTTTCCTGATTCCTTACACGTTGACATTATAGCCTAAGAAATAATTAATAATTTATATATAATTCATCACGCTTTTACGAAGGAACCATCTAAAGAATAAACTGGCTAGATTTTTTGTACGTCAAGTTCGCAATAATCACGATACAAGAAATACAATTGCATCGCAACATTAAGTATCAAGGCTTCATTTATGCAATTTGTCAAGGAAATATAGTTGGTTGGTTAAAACGTTTCACACTCAGTTATCTTTTCAGTTTTCTCTTAATCATTTTTTTTAATAATTTTATTATTACAACATAAGTATGTATTTCAACTTTGTAATTTATATTTAATTTTCTATTTTTTTATGTAAAATCTAAGCTACCTATTTAAGGTAAAGTTGATCAACTTTACCAACTCAAACTTCTAAAACCGTTCTTAACTAAACCAAAATAAGCTTATGTAGACGTATTACACCAAAAAACACAATTATTACGAAAATGAATATTATGAAAATGAACAACGAGAATGGCACTTGACAAACAGACAAAAATACATTTATTACACATTGTTATTTTTTATGACTTAATAGACTAACCGTAGGGTCAGCAACGATTTCATTCACATCCCCAGGACAGGAGCCGTCTTGATACGCCACAGTAGGCGCGTGCCGCCTCACCATCTGTGTTATGGCGATGTTCAGACAGACACGCATGGTGTACGCGTTGGCCACTGCCAGGAACCCCATGATAGCCATCACCCATCGCTGCGGTATCACGAATACTGTTGGAAAAGACAGAATTAATTATAACATTAATTCATAATAGGATTCTGTTCAGACTCTTTGATACAAAACAGTAATTACGTTTAAACTTCAAAATCACTTAAAAATTATTATCCTTAGGTTTTTTTTATTTATTAATATGGGACTACTCTTAAGTTCTTTCCTAATCTTCCAGGAATAAAAATGAAGTGCTGCATTAAACAAATAATATTGGAAAACAATTTGCAAATAGTGAAAATCAATAAACAAACACAAAAAATATGTAACTGAATAGAAAATATTATTTTTAATATAATTAGTTTAAGAAATACCTAATTATTTAAAAAAAAATTGGTTAGAGATAAAATGAGCTGTTTTATGGAAAAGTATGAGGCATGGGATAAGTAATTAAAAATAATGCGCATTCTTACAATATAATTTAATTCAAATTCAATTAATTAATTAATTTAATTCAAATTCAATTAATTAATTAATTCAATCAAAATTCAATCAATTATAGCTTATTGAAATTTATACCTATAATTTATGTCAACTATTGAAATTATAATCTTTATCATACAGTTTTGACACAATATGCGCATGATTAAGCAAAAGTTCCATATACTTAACATTGCTTATTATTTTTCCCGTTTGAAATATTCAAGTCAAGTTTTAAATCAATCGATTGTCGATAAACTTCCTCAATTTTAGAGTAGATGAGGTTAAATCTGCTTTAAATTCTTCTCGTATATACATTTAACGTCTAATAATGTTAAATACAGGCTGTTTCCTTAAAGGAATGCGAGTGATCAATGATCTTCGACCAAGATATTTTTATTCACAGTTAACAGTACTAAGTGTAGATGTGTACCTGTACTGTGTGGCTCGAGTTGATGGTGATTAAAACTTTATTAATATCATAAAATATATTTTTAAGTATTAAATTGTGTTCATTTTAATAAGTAATATTTTATACTCAAATGGATTTGTAATTATTGTTTTTCTTAAATTAGTTTAATTCCCCATTGAAAGATATCAATAAAGCTTACAAAATAATAGGAAACGGAAATATAATCCTACAGAAAGCCTGACATTTAACGATTAAGCAAGTTTAAGTATCTATTGCATATTATAAGAAATAAATATTAATATTCATTTTCATAGTAATTGTAATGATTTTTAGCGTTATTATTCATAATTAAATTTATTAAAAGATTCATTACTAATGCAATTTATTTAGTTTAGAGTTAATTTCTTTAATTCATTTCTTTTTTTCTGAAATATAATTAGATAATTTACTTTAATGGAAACGATATGGCGTAATGGTTTGAATATCTGTTTCTTCGCCGGACATCGCGAGTTCGAACTTGCAAGCGACAAACATATAAGCCATATAATTATTATAATTTGTCGTAGTCTGAGTATATGTCACACACATACAGTACACACATCTTAGTGGGAGCCATTGAATATTTAGGGCTATCATTACTTATGATAACCAAAAAACAAATTCTTAGGTTTTACCACGGTAATATATGCATTACATTACCGTGGTTTTACATATGAGTATACTCTTACATTGTAGTTTTTGTATTTTTTCTCAAAAAATGAGACTTTTTCCCGCGGTAAAAAGTATCCTATTTGTATATATCCTATCCACCTTACCAAATTTCATCAAAATCCCTCCTGTGACAGACAGACAAAAAGTCTAAAAACTATAGATTCCGCCTCTGTATCGATAATAATGTTTATTTCAATAAGATTTTTCAAAAAATATTTAATGTACAGATTCGGCTTAGTTACAATTTTATTATATTATGTATAGATATGTGTGTGTGTGTGTGTTAAGTAATTAACTACATAGTTACTACTATATTATAATACGCAAGCTTTATAATAATAGCCTTATCCACAAAATCAGTAGCATTAAAGGTCAACGGAATTAAGATCGGATGTATGTGGTAGAAGGCTTAACGCGTTACCAATAAAATATGAGGCATAATATTTTGCTGCCTCTAAATAACTATCTTTTGTTTGAGAACAATGCATCGCTGGCGGACTTTAAGATGCCATTTTCCGGTAACCGTATTTTATATATCATAGCTCGTACTGAGTTAAATAATTACAGAGAATTGGTTCTCATGAACTGGTCAAAAGAATGAGTAAAATCGAATGGACGTACCTACTTAATTGTTAGTACGGCCCTCTGACGTATATATATACTGCTACTGTGCTGCTGTGTACTGGACCGTTACGGGTGGAAGCATAGAAGATATTGTACAACGAATTGATCCACATTGGAATAAGAATGAATTTTTGTTATTCACTATAATAACTTGTTGAAATTTAAGTGATTAACCGCTATCTACAGTAAAAGTCTCGAGGCTATTCCGACCGCGGTTGCATTGTTAGAAAATTAAAAAAATATACCGGAAACACATTTTCATGCTACGTGACATAATCAGGGCCGGATTTAAGTGTAATAGGGCGACCTACAAATATCTTATTGTGGCTCCCCGCTACAGGAATGCAGCCCTTTTATGTACTTACATAGACGATAACGGGACGTTAATTATAATGTACAGAATGATCGACAGTGTATTATTTTGTTATCTTATATTATTTTGATTTATCACAGATAATAATATAATAATAATATTTGTCCACAACATTTAAAAAAATACAAGTGCAAAATAACATGTTCTACAAAAACTTGGTTTTTTATTTATAAATATAATAAAATGATATTAATACCTATAATATGGTAACATACAGAAGTTTACAAAAAAATGTATTATCTTTAATGTAAACAAAATGCATTATATTATTATATAAGTATGTCATTAACTCTACCTTCAAGGTTCTCATTATTTCATACAAGATTACCAATTTATTTTTGTAATTAATACGAAGTACTTGGGTCTCATTAGTAAAGTGATAGTAGCAGATAGGTACTTTCTTCAGATATAAAATACATATTTTTATACGTATTTTTACAGGAATTTACACAAAATAAATATAAAAGCAAACGCGGTTTTAATGTTTCGTTAGAACAATAGCCTGTTTATATGAGCTATCGTCATTGGTGTACCACAAAAAAGGCGTTATTATTTCCGTTCAATTACTCTTTCAGAATATTAAAAACAGTGACATGCGCGCCGTTAAAATTCCCGTTCCGAAGCATCGAATTGTGTACTACGACCGTCCGAATCAACCTCGTAGGCCGCTCGAACAAAAAGTAACAATATGGAGAAACTGGGCACGTTCCTGCCGACTTGGTCACCCAAATTGGTATTGGTATTGAGAAACTCGTTAGAAGTGTCAGTTTTTGTTGATCACCGCGCAGATTTCTATTAAATCGCTATCGCATTCCGGCATCGTATGATCCCACCGGCCAATGGCAGGTTTAAACCAGTTACCACCGTCAGACAGGCTGGCGGTGTAATTTCGCACTACCTACTAAAATGCAGCTCGAGTAAATGTTATCATAACTCTAACAACTTCATGATACTTTACAGTTATGATGTACTGTCAATAGACGTTACGAATGTTGATCTCGATTCGTAATCCTATGACGAAGTATCGACAACATTCTGTTTGTTTAGTTGACGAATAGCAATAACAATAGCAATTCATTAAAGTAATTGTTGATGATGAGACAAATGTTCTTGACGTAATTGAGTTAAAATTAAGTGTAAAAATATTTTTTTTAAATTCACAGCTAAAAAAATATGTCAAAGAACTTATTTTGCGTGGATTTAAATATTAATTTTATTTTGAAATTTTAACACATTTCAGTGTCTATATTAGAAAACCTTATTGTGACATAAATTAAATAAACTTAAGTAAACATTATGAATTGTAGTTTTTCCATAGCTGCGTGTTTGATGAGAAAACTAGTGTAAACAATACTACTAGTACAGTGCGGCGTGCGATAGCTTTAGTATAAATATTTTAAATCCTACCCATTACTCTCTATGTGATACAGCTTTTACTTGTAGTCAGAGCACTTATCTATAAGTAATGGCGTGTTGTCGTCGTAGTGTACACACGTGTGTACACATGAATGTAAGCCGCCAACTTTGTGTTTAATGAGGCAGTCACATTAGCTATATACCGGGCCCTTTCACTTCATCGTGAATCATTAATCAATCGCAGGTCGATTTGCTAAAACATCGTATATCTTGAATTGATCACGAGATCTTTAGAGTTACAGGAATTTAACAAGCATTCATCAAACAGTTCGCAGGAGAGCCGCAAACCGAGCTTTAACTCCCTTTCACTATAGTGCATTAAATCAGTTGTGTCGCGTTTATTACAACGTAGGCGGCACAAATGATAGATTTTCCCAAAGACACCATGATTGAAGAAAGTTAATTTAATCCTTAATTACTGTCCTTTGTTATTATTTATTGACACTGACTCTGCGATGTAAGTCTATCTCGCTCTACATTGTCTTTCTCTTTGTGCTTTAGAAATTCATGGATGCATATAGTACCTACTGCTATTATCTATCGCCTTAAATCGTAACCAAAAATGCTTACGCGGGTAAAGCTAGTTTTTGCGAGTACTATCACAAAACCTAAATATTTTTTTGATGCAACTTAATTACAGGAATAATGACAAAGCAAGATGCAATTCTATTAGGAAAGTACAAAATACTTGCTGATGCTGTGTAGTTTGTTTTATCCGGATAGATCGTCCACTACACTTCAAGTCCACAATAACCTGTAAATACACTAAATTGTCCAAAATCTATGTATTAGCGGTACGAGTACGCGCAACGGTCTTTAGCTATATTCTACAACAACGACTTATTAAAAGAATTCATATTAAAATCTGCGAAATTAGATACAAACTAGTTTTAAATTAAGGAAGGCTTGTTTAACTAGTTAAAATACTTTTGCTTTAATATGTATAGTAAATAATTGATTTCTTATGTAAAATGACATATATTTTATGAGTATTATGAGAGGAATATTTTCATATTATATATATATATATATATATATATATATATATATATATTACGTACATAGGTTATATACAACGTATATTTAAAGGCACCATAAAAGAATTTATACACAGCTAGCCCAAGTTTATTCACTTGAGAAAACAATGACATTGTACCATATCACATTTCTCATGCATATTAGTTATGAAGCGTGAACGATGTTTTCTGTATAAACTGGAAAATATAAAAGCAAAATATTCCAATAGATTTTATTAAATTATTTTATTTCATTAAATTGTATTAAAATATACGAGGACGAAAATTGTTAATTAGTATTAATTAACAGCGATCGAAATTTTTTTTTTTTGGAAAGAGACTATGCCTACTATACATAATGTATGTTAAATATATTATTTTTTGATATGACAATCACATATTTTGTGCAATAAACTAACTTATCGTTGTTTTATTTATTACGTTCGACATTAGGACATTGATACATTAAATTTTATTGGTTTAAAGTTAAAGCACAAATAAAACCTGTTATATTAACAAATTAAAACAAATTAATTTGTCATAATAATGAGGGTATAATTGATTATTGATATTTAAATTGAAATTTATGCATATTGAAATTTGAAACCTCCTCTATAAATCACTATAAAACATAAAATGGTATGGATGAGTAACATTATATGAGATCTGGTTACCGACGACCAGTTTTGGTGGAAAAATATAAGAATGCTGCTCTGGCTGCCCGTGACAGCGATTCTTGGAAAATTAACAGGATATTTTTTAAGTGACAAATGACGATAATTATAGGCCATAATAAACTTTGTTATTTTTTAATAAATATGCCATAACTAAACTAAGCAATTTTTTTACTTAAAGAACTAGTTAAGCATGTTTAATACAAGATTAATTTAATAAATGTAGAATAAGTTTTTCTGGTAAATAAATAAATAAAATAAGTTTTGTAAATTATATTACGTAAGTTACTGCTTATGGCTAATAATTATCGACGACAATGTATTTTAATACGCACCCATGAGTACTATATGATAAGGTTTTTTTTTTGGGGAATGATCAACTAATACGCTTGTAATATCTTGTTCATTTCTTCCGACAGGCTCAATTTTATAACAAAATACCGGATAAATATTCTTTGAACAGTATTTATTAGTTCAAATCTGCAGAATAATAATGTACTATCTTAGCAGTATTTTAATCAATTTCCAAAAAGGAATAATAATCAATTTTATCGAAATCGGTCGAGCGGTTTTTAAAAAAATCAAAAATATTTTTTTTTAATAAACTGTTTAATCAAATATGTTATTAAAAAATTCTTCTTACAAATTTCTTGCTTATTACGTCTATACTGAAAAAGGAAAAATAAAAACTTAAAAAAAACCGACTTCCAGGCACTAAAATGTATAAAATAAGTAAACGGGGGTTTTCATTTAGAATAGATCTACCTAATCAGATATTTTCGAAGTCGGTGCCAGTCGACAATATTTTAAGATACTCGTATGAATATCTAATAGGTAAATATGTATTTTACTTCGAAAATATATGATTAGGTATCTATTCTAAATGAAAACCCCCGTTTAGTTAATTTTTACATTTTAGTGCCAGAAAATCGATTTTTTTTAAAGTTTTTAAATAAGTTATAGGTACTTCTTTTGGCGCGCTGTGAAAAAAATGAAGAGAGTGAATTTTTAAGATGCTACATAATTATTTAGACTAAAAAACTTTTTAACAAAAAAATAAAAACCGACTTCAAACAAAAGCACTAAAAAGTAAAAAATAACTGATTGGTAGTTTTCATTTACTATACATACCTAATCAAATATTTTCGAAGTCGGTGTGCTTTGGCTAAGTAATTTAAAGCCTACCTATTAAATACATACCTAATCAAATATTTTCGAAATCGGTGCCAGCCCATACAAAGCAAAGCACACCGACTTCAAAAATATTTGATTAGGTATGTATAGTAAATGAAAACTACCAATCAGTTATTTTTTACTTTTTAGTGCTTTTGTTTGAAGTCGGTTTTTATTTTTTTGTTAAAAAGTTTTTATTTTTACTTTTTTAGTGTAGACAGTAGTAGCAAAGTTAGGATTCTAACGTGTTAGGCTTGTCAAATCAAACAAAATAAGCCCAAACTCAAAGTATCTACTATTAGCCGTTGAAGAGTTCCACCTATCCACCTTCTGGCCTTGCCATCAGATCAGATCAACAACACCGAACCACTGTACTATCAACGGAAATAGAAACACTTGCAAAGTTTCAAGTCAATATGACAATTAGAAGTAGGTTAAATTCATCATTAGTTGTTTTTCCACCCTTAGGGGTGGTATTTTTTTTTGAAATTTAAATGGGACCAATCTGGAAGTATACCCTTTCAAACAAAATAAAAATTGTCCAAATCGGTTAATAAATGACGGAGTTCTGAGGTAACAAACATAAAAAAAAAAACATACAGTCGAATTGAGAACCTCCTCCTTTTTGAAGTCGGTTGAAAATATGAAGTTAGTCGTTAAATCTCTCCATTAAGTATAATATAAAGTAATGTGTATATTTAAGATATTTATTCCAGTATTTCTATATACAAAGATGTGTTTTAAAACAATGTTAGTACCTAAATTCCTCCAAAGGGTATGTTAATCATATACTGTGAATAGTTTACGCAAACAAGAAATAATATCTTAAGCATCTGTTAAAGTGTTCACTAACAGATTGGAAATTACTGAAATCGACTTTCGCAACGCGGCCTTCCTCTGTTTTTGTATATAATATTTTATTTTAAACTAATTTCTACACGCGACCTCGTTCGAAGTCAATAAAAAATATGATGCTTAAAAGTTTAAAAGAGTCAGATTTTGTGAGAGACAAAGTGTATTAATTCAAATGATATTATAAAAGAACAAATAATGTGTTGGGCATTTCTAACATTAGGTATACGGAACGGAATATTTTGGTATCGATTTATTTAAATTAATTTTAGGTTTCAAATTATTTTTCCTTTTACGATTAAGATACGAAGACCTTACCATAAAATAAATATTGATTATTTTTTTTTACTTTTTAATATATTATGCTAATTTAAAAATTCCAAATTAATCAAAGCTTACGACAGCATGTTTTATAAGGAATGAAATTTTAACATTTTTTGTATAAACATCTTAAAATTATAACGTAGAATTATTAATGAAAATAAAAATAAAAGAATTTTGAACACTTTCAAAGCATTTTCCTGTATTAGATAATTATTACTAAACTTGCCAATACCAATGCTAATAGCATCATTTATTAGTAGATAGTCTATATTTTATCCTTTGCACTTTTTGTTTATTATACACAGTATTGGATCATAGCATTTTAAGTATCATTTTTATAAATTTTATGACAACAACGATATTTTTTATTAATTTTAACAGAGAATTAAGAATTATTTAGCAATACGAATCTATTATCATATACATATATTACTTAAATGTTAAGGTTAACATATAATTTGTATTACCTATGAGAAAAGCGGAAATTTAAAAAAAATTATCTCGACGAACGTGATATGGAACTCCTTTTGTGTAGATACGTTATGTAATAATCTGATATTATTATCAACTGTACAGTACTTATTAAGTTAAAGTATTTTTTATGAATAAATGATTAATTAAAAGAATATTATTTATTATAATTAACAATTTCCTTTGCAAGGAAAATGAAGGCTTGTTAAGTTAACATTTGAATATTAATTGTGTAAATACAATTAAAATGGTTTATTAAATAGCCTCTAGATCTTAACTATGTGGATATGTACATATATATGTTTCAATATTAATAAGAATATTATATAACAAAGTTGCATTGTAAACCATGTACATATGTATAGGTTTTATAAATTAATGTTAATTTTACGTAACTTACTTAAAGAAAACAAACTTATAATTATATAATATTATTTATATCATACATATTTAACTTCCTTAAATTTGATATATTAAATGATAAGTATAACGGTTTTCATTAATTAATTTTTAATATTTTGTCAAACTTACACTTGGAAAGTATTAGCTGCCAGCCGGTCAACATTTTGAGTATTTCACCACTTAATACGATTCACTTAATTTAGATTTATTTAACTTTTTCATGTAGCCACTAGCTTTTTAAGTTTAAATATCGTACGAAAATCGCGCGCTCGCGTCGCGCCTTCATGCGCGCAGTCACAAGTTCAGCCTTACAATCAAGCGCCCGCGCACTCTCCATGCCTCTATATACCTCTACGTCCTGCCACCGTTTTGTATGCAACCAGGACAACTTTAAACTTATTTTAATTTAACAAAACTTCGACTTCTTAGCATGTTATATAAATAAAATGCATAATTCGATGTTATGTCATATATATTTGGGTCAATTGTAACCAGTTTGTTAGGTCAAGTTTAGTGTGAATAATCGTATTTTGGTCAGTGCTTTGAGCGGTATATGATTTGATCATATTGACGTTTACCTATTATTATGTTGCGTGTTAAACACAATCGAATTAAACACAAACGCGGTAACAGCTACAGCTTGCGTGTTTTGGCACTGCTCTATATATTTTTTTGTAATTTTAATAGATAGGTTTGACTATCATACGAAAATTGCTTAAAATATTTTTCATCTTTACTGTAAAAAGTAAATTATAATTATATTTCATTTTTTATAAAAGTGATAAAAAGTGCAAATCTTACAATATTTATAATGAAAAGGTACATTTTGTCAGCAATCACGGTAGTCGACGTATATTACGAATACATAGGGGAGATTAGTCCAAAACCGGGTATGGGGGTAAAATCGGGACACGGCACTTAGGCTTTCTAATGTGTTTCAAATTTTCGCACGCAAAAGCAATAACAATATTGCAGAAAACAGTTTTTACGGAGGTTTGATATAATATTAGACGGATAGAGTGTGTATTAATGTTAAATAAACATTGGTTGAATTTTCATTGCGACATGTTTTTGGGTTATTTAATTACTTTGTTTCTCTTTGGTACGCTTGGGGTAAAACCGTACGTGGTAATACCGGGTAGTACCCGGTTTTCTACCACTATGATAAATTGTTATATGAAAAATGCCATTCTTGAAGTTAAGGACGGAAAATTTGGATAAAGCTTTTCGAAAAAAATCCAAAAAGAAGAAGGTTTCAGACGATAAGTGATGATTGGGTGCAATGTCTTAAGTGTAAGGAGGAGGAGGGTCTCACCCTAAGGCTGTACTGGTTGGGATCGAGATGAACTGGATGGGTTCCATTGCTTCCGTTGTTAACGGGCAAAGTCGAGTATAAGATGTGGGATAAGGTTATTATCATAAAAAGTTAACTTTGGAAAATGAACATTTTTTATTACCTACAATAACGAAAATAGTGATCTCGTTGACCAAATATGTAATTAATAAGTTAAAGTAAAGAAGTCTAATAAAGTTAATTTATAATGTTTGTAATATATTTTTTATTTAAAATTTCCTTTAGCGTCCCGATTTTACTTTACTTTCCCTTACATACATAAGTACACGTCTCACTCGAAATAAATATGTACATATATATTTCTTTTGTTTACAATCGTTTTAACAATCCTTTTTATCTAGAGAATAAAAAACTTGATACTCTTTTCTCCCAACACTGTACGGCTCCTACATGAAACTTATATTAATATACTCTAAATGACAATTAATTAATTATTTTTTGAAATATGTTGTTAATTTACTAGTGACATCCTCGTAACGCTCGAAAAAGTCCTTGGGTGCCTTAACCTATGTTACTCCAGGGGACCAGGTCAACTCCCGCACCGTGCTTTCACCTTGTCGTAGTGGAGGGTTCATTAGCATCTGGAAATCCAGCCGGCCGCATGGGAGACGGCCCACCTCAGTGGACGATGTGCTATGCGGGTTACTCCTGGTACTTCTCTGATAGCAGAGTAGACCGTTGGAGCAACTCCATGGCTGTTGTGGTCTGCTTCGGTAGACCTGTTGTCGGGGCGTTGTGGTGGAGTGCGTAAGCGATCCTGCGACGCCCCATTAAGAGGGGGAGGTTTTGTTGGGTTTTAATGGGTAGTACTGGCTTTTATAGCCGGTGAGTCCCACATAACCACCTAATGTTATGCGTAAATGCATTTCCCAACAAAATAAAAAAAAATCGTCTTAATCTGTCCAACCTCTTTCAGTATGAAAAAGTAACAAACAGTCAAAGAAACATAATAATTCATGTAATTTAATTAGTAGTCCGATTGTCGTTCATTTCACGAACCTCAACACAATACACTTACTGAGAGAATAAAATATCTTTAAATAAGATCAAGTTTATAATATTTTATAACAAAATTATTTTGATAAATTGTCGTTATTTCTTATTTAACAATTACTTTATCTGACTGCGTTACGTAGAATTAAAAATAAAATCACATTTAAATTTTAAATAAACCCTGGTGTTAATAAAATTAGTACTTACATATTACCAGGTAATCTAGTTGGTTCAATATTTAGATTCACAATTTGAATAATAATTTTCATCAAAAAAATTATTAAAAAAAGTTTGAAATTTTCAAATTAAAGACGTGTAGACAGGACAACGTCTGTCGGGTCCGCTAGTTTAATTATAATTTAGTGTTTTTTAACATAATTATAATTTCAATTTCTCATAGCCTTATCTTATTCAGAAGCATGTTGGAATTTACCTAAACTCAAATATATCTGAGAATTGAGATACAAAAATGCATTTTCATTCACATAATATATTGTCTTTTATTTCCTTTGTTAATGGGCCTTTGTGTCCACTTTACATCTTAGGATGTTTTCCTCATAATATCGTTTTAATATTACTTTGTATCCGGATTAATAAATAAAAATACATATATTTTATTAAAAATTAAGAGTTATGTGGTTGCCAATAAAAAAATGCTACCATTTTACTTACTTATATGTACCTACACTGAAATAATTTGCTTCTCACTGAATATTACGAGTATTTAACCGGTGATAGAACTCTGTCAAGCCTGAGGAGTCCGACTGGATGGGTACCACCCCCTTATTAATTTTTTCCGCCAAGCAACAATGATTACATTGTTGTGTTCCGGTTTGAAGGATAAGGTAGCCAGCGCAATTACAGGCAAGAGGCATATCGTCTCAGTCCGCACAGTGACAACGCACCTGCGGCTCTGCATTTTTCTAACATAAAACCTAAGTGCATGAACCGTAGGTGTTATGGGCGAAAGGTACCGCTTTCCATCAGGTGGGCTGTCTGCTCGTTTGTCACTGAATACCATAAAAAGAAAGATATAATATTACCTATATCTGTAGCGACTTATCCTCGCTCAGCTCGAAGACAAACAGTATCCATGTATAAGTATTACTCCAACTCATAGTCTATCTGTGTACTACAAATTTCATCAAAATCCTTCCAGCCATTACAGCATGAAGGAGTAAGAAACATACACATACTTATACCTTTCTACTAAAATTGAAATTGATTTCTTTATGCCCGATACAAATATTGGAGTCGAGCAGAAATTGAATGTGTCACCTCTAATTGAATAAGCTGCTGCAATCTGTTAAAGAAACCTTACATAAGTTGCTATTTGGATATTCGTTATAAGAAATACGCAAGTGATCTTTCAAACAATGTGTAAATGTTTCTTAATTTAACTATTTTTATTTCTTGACTTATTTTAATTGTAATATTTTACCAAATCTACCTACATAATGATTTTTTTTAACTATCTTTGTCGGGCATAAGTTTAACGTTGATACCTAAATGGCGTTATTCATGCTAGTGTCCAGTCTCTCTGTGCTCAGACCGACCCCATAAGTAACTTTTGGTAACATATTACGAATTATACAACCGGCCTAATATTCCACGAGAAGCATTATCTAGCGGTACTGGCATAATAAATTTTATGCCGCCTATGACGGTCTTTGGCCTATATCTAATTATTCTTATGCAAAAAATTGGTTCGATCCGTTGTAAGAAGGAAAAGTTGCTGTGTGTTGTTTTTTTATTAATAGCGTGATTTCGATATCTTTTTCTTTAAGGATAATACAACACTCAGTGCAGCGATAACCAGCTCTCCAGTTTGCTGACTCATAGCATCGTCCTTGTTGGTCTATTTGTTGAGACCTATAACAACAACAACTTTAGTAAAATTGTTGATATGTATGACATGAAGGCTGTTTTTAACGTTTAATGGCTATAACATTAGATATAAGGTGCTATAAATATTGTAATAAATATGTTTTTATAAGAACATTTTCCCTAAACTATTACAGTCTGAAATACGCGAAAACAAGCTGTTAGAATAAATTTAATGAACTTCTGTTCATTAAATCTAGTAAGTTCTGTTAATTCTGGATATAATTTTAATCTTCTAGATAACATATGCGGAAAGAGGAAAATGGTACGTATAGGAGATGTCACTATATTTTGCATCTCATTATACATTTTCCCTAAAGACTCGTATTCTAAAAAGGATGTCACAACCTTCTTAAAATATAATCACAAAACATAATCGAAGAAACACAAATAATCATTACCAAGTAAAGGGAATCTAAATACTACAGTTGCGGTTACTAGAATGACTTAAAGTCACGACAGTCATGTCTTATCTTAGTACCAGGTACTAGTCTAGCGCATCTGTGAGGAAATTTCCATTAGTTCATGAACTGTCGCGTTCCTTTGATCATATATATGAAAGTTATTTTTTACTAGCAGCTCTACTAAACTATATTATTGTAAAGTTTTATTAAAATCCAATCAGTAGTTTTTGTGTACTAAGCTGTATAAGTTACTATAATAGTCTTTTAACTATCCCACGTGAACTCTTTAGTTTTCCGGGATGAAAAGTATCTAAAATGTTGACCGGGGATATAAGGTACCACCATGCAAAATTCCATTTAAATCGGTCCAACAGATTCGGAGATTAGCCCGTACAAACAGACAGACAGAGAAAATAAAAATTGAAAATATCTGGATTTTTTCTTTTTCTTTTCTTACATCCTCCAGACTCGATTTTTAGATTTTTTTTCTATGTACAGACATTCGACCTATACAGTTTTATTATATGC